TGTCTACGGTGGAGTGACTTCCCGTAAGTTCCAGCTATTTGGGGAAGGTTTAGATGCCGCATTGTGCTTTCTGATGTTTGCAGAGTCCTTGCTAGATTGAAGTCACTGACCATTTCTGTGGCAGAAGTCATTTAACTCCTGCCACCTGGCAGGTCCCAATAATGTACATCAGTCACCACCTCAACATACTTAAGGATGCTGAGCTCTGTGGTTTGTCACTGTTGATGGAAATTATGGGCAACTGGAACTTCTCATTGCCATCTAAGTTAAGGCATGGATGTGACCCAGTATTTATCATGTGACCTGAGTTCTGGGTGGTGTCTTGCGGAGAAAGACTAAATTTCTTAGGAATACTGTTGGTCTTTTGATGCCCAACTGGTCAGGTGGGGCAGGGCCTCGCCCAGAAGTAGGGGATGAGGGTAGGGTTCTGCACAGCAACCTGGTAAGGTCTTTTCCTTTGCAGACCCAATTGTGAGTGTGGTCACATCTTAGTGGGGACAGTGAGAAACGGGTTGAGCCATGTGGGGAGCAGGGGCGGCATGCCAGCCGACCACCATGCCAGGTGGGAGGGCAAGGGTGGTGCATGGGGACTGGAGTAGACACCTGGAGGGAGGTAGCACACCTGGGGATGCGGTTTAGGTGGGACCCTATGGGATGAGTTTCCTTTCTTCCTCTGGAGATGGATTTCCCACCATGGGTCCCCAGGGCAATCCCCTGCTTAGGGCTCCAGCTACTCTTTCCCCAGTAGTCCCCTGAGGGACACATCACAAACCATGTGGCCTGGAGGCGATGGCATGTACAAAAGATACTCAGTTCTTTTGAGCCAATTAGGGACTCAGTCTCCATAGGGATTATATTTTTCAAAATACATTGTGAAGAGATAAATTAATAACAGGAAATGAACCACAGATCCAGAAGGCTTAGAGAACACTACGCAGGATACATGCCAAAAAAAAAAAAACAAAAACCCACATGTAGGCATATTATTTTCAATTTCTTGAAATTATGAAGGTTTTGTTTTGTTTTTTAAGATTTTATTTATTTGACAGAGATAGCGAGAGCAGGAACACAAGCAGGGGGAGTGGGAGAGGGAGAAGCAGGCCTCCTGCGGAGCAGAGAGCCTGATGCGGGGCTCGATCCCAGGACCCTGGGATCATGACCTGAGCTGAAGGCAGACACTTAACGACTGAGCCACCTAGGTGCCCCGAAATTTCGAAGTTTTGAAAGAAGCCTGAGGGAAAAAATACCTTAGCTCCAGAAGAATACTAAGACTTAAATCCATCCTCTTAGTAACCATGCAAGCAAGAGGGGAGAGGAGTTAAATTTTTAAAGTGTTGAGAGAAAAACTGATCGGGTTAGAATTCTGTTCATTGCAAAATTATCCTTCAACAGTTCAGGGCAAACAGCCTTTCTGAAAGAAAAACTAGGGAATTTGTTGCCAGTAAACCTGCCATCAGTCCATTTGGGATGATATAACAAAATACTAGAGACCCAGGTAATTTATATAAAGATAAACATTTATTTCTCACAGTTCTGGAGACTGGGAAGTCCAAGATCAAGGTGCCAGCATGGGTGAGTTCTCTGGTCAAGATCCTCCTCCTAGTTCGTAGTTTGCTTTTCTTTCTGTGTCCTTCCATGATTGAAGAATTTAGGGATCTTGGTGGAACCTTTTTTTTTTTCCCCAAAAAAACCTTTTTTTTTTTTGAGGGAGAGAGAGAGAGCGCATGCACACACAAGCTGGGGGAGGGGCAGAGGGAGAGGGAGAATCAGACTCCCTGCTGAGCGGGGAGCCCCACACCAGAGCTCGATCCCAGGACCCCGAGACCATGACCTGAGCCAAAGGCAGATGCTTAACTGAATGAGCCACCCAGGCGCCCCAGTGGAACTTTTATTTATTTATTTATTTATTTATTTATTTATTTATTTATTTATTTATTTATTTATTTTAAGATTTTATTTTATTTATTTGACAGAGAGAGACACAGCGAGAGGGGGAACACAAGCAGGGGGAGTGGGAGAGGGAGAAGCAGGCTTCCCGCGGAACAGGGAGCCCGACAAGGGGCTCGATCCCAGGACCCTGGGATCATGACCTTAGCCGAAGGCAGACGCTTAACGACAGCCACCCAGGCGCCCCCCTCAGTGGAAGTTTTACAAAAGCAGTAGCCCATTCATGAGGATTACAACCTCATGACCTAAGCATCTCCCAAATTTGCACCTCTTAATATCATATTTTGGGGTTAGGTCTTCATCATGTGAATTTCTGGGAAGGGGATGACCATGAGCTCTTCCATGCAAGAATTGTTAAGAGAACTTCTTTAGAGATAAGGAAAATTATATAGGTCAGAAACTTGGATATACATAAAGAAAGAAAGAGCATTGCAGGAGGAATAAGTCAAGGTCAAGTGAATATTTTTTATTATTTAAAAAGTTTTATTTATTAGAGAAAGTGGAATGAGGGAAGTAGAGGAAGAGAGAGAATCTCACGCAGACTCCCTGCTTAATGCTGAGCCTGATGCGGGGCTCAATCTCAGGACCCTGAGATCATGACCTGAGGTGACATCAAGAGTCAGACGCTTAACTGAGCCACCCAGGTGCCCTGTTGTTATTTTTAATTTTAAGTAGGCTCCACACCAAACATGGGGCTTTAACTGATGACCATGAGATTAAGAGTTGCATGCTCTCCTGAGCCAAACAGGTGCCCCAAAAGTATTATTTTTTGTAATTCTTAATTGATCTAACAATAATTTTTTCCCAATAGTAACACCAACAATATATTCTGTTATTTATGTTTATCTTAATGTGTGTGTGTGCTCTTATTATGCTTTTATATTCGTGGAATGAATGACATCAATGATACAAGGGACGGGAGGGAGGAATTGAGATTATTTTGTTATTATAAGGTACTCACATTATCCATGAAGTGGTATAGTGTTTGAAAGTAGATTTGGATTAGTTGTCAGTGTTTATTGAAAACTCTAGGACAACCAATTAAAAAAGTAAAAGTATAACTGATATGCTAAGAAACAAAATCATAAAATGCTCAAAGCCACAAAGAGCAGGAAGAGACTGGAAGACAAACTGGAACAACAAAAAAGGTGACAAATAGAAATTAGTAACAAATATGGTATATATTAATCTTAACTATATCAATAATCACTTTTTTAAAAAAGATTTTATTTGAGAGAGAGAGCACAAGACGTGGGAGGGTCAGAGGGAGAAGCAGAGATGTTGCACTCAATCCTGGGACTCCAGCATCATGACCTGAGCCGAAGGCAGATGCTTAACCAACTGAGCAACGCAGGCGCCCCTCAATAATCATTTTGAATGGCAAAAAACTAATAAAAGATTTTCAGAGTGGGCCCCAAACCAAGATCCTACTATGTATTATCTACAAAAACTGTGCGATAATTTTTACGCCTCTATGTTTGTAGTAATTTGTTAACAGGAACAATAAAAAGTAATAGAACAGATACGCAAAGAAATGAAGTAATTGAGAAAGACATAGAGCAAGTCAGTGAGGGCTCACTTCTTTATGAAGGTTCTCCCTGTGTGTGACATGGTAGGGTCAGTGTTGGTGAGTAAACTGCTTTATTTACTGTGGCTTCATTGCTTAACAGTATCCATTAACTCATCAGGCAAAAGTATAACTTTATATTGATATTTCATCATAAAATTATGCATGTATGACTGGGTCAGAAATGACCTTAAGATTATAGAGGGCAAAAGTCAATTAGTTGGTAACCTATTTAGCTAGTTGGAAAGCATTCCAGTCATTGTGTTTTAATGAAACACACCCTTTATCTGATTATAAAAGTTCTGTGAATGGGGAGGTATTGGAAGGATACAGCCTCATCACAGAATATTGCATGAAATTAACCTGATAAATATTTACAGGGTGTATAGAATTTTATAAATACGAAATCATACCCAAGAATATGAGGGTTTGGAATTAAACAAGCTTTTAAATTTCATTATTGGCATAGAAACACACAAAGATCAGTGGAACAGAATAGAGAACCCAGAAATAAAGTCGTGCATATATGGATTTGTCACTTTAGTTAGACAAACGAGCCAAGAATATACAATTCGGAAAGGTAGTCTCTTCAATAAATTATGTTGCCAAAACTGGGCAGTCACTTGCAAAAGACTGAATCTGGACCCCAGTCTTATACCATAAATGAAAATCAGCTCAAAATGGATGAAAGATTTGAATGTAAGACCTGAAACCATAAATCTCCTAGAAGAAAACGTGTGGGTGATCTCCTTGCCATTGGTCTTGATTTTTTGGATTTGACACCAAATATGTGGTCGTGACTATATAAGTGCAAACATTTGTCAAAAGTCAATAAATTGTATCTTTAAAATGGGTACACTTCATTGTTTTTAAATTGTGCTTCAATGAAGTGAGAACTAGCTTGCTTAAATGGTCACTAGGATCAACAGCCTAGCCTTCTTGTACAAAATGGGACACAGAGAGGTATACCTTTCTGTGGGAGAACAGGGAAAGGACTTCCCCAATGTCATTACAAGTTATGTCAGACCTGAGGCCAGAATGCAGGTAGCCTGACACCCAAGCAGGATTTCTTTCACACCCCTGTCTTCCACATAAAGACTGTGTCTAACTTCCCTGAATGACATGGGCACATCCCTCCGAAGACAGGCTCTGGGTCAGGGGCCAAAAGGCAGCTGTCCACTTTCACCTCCAGATGACCATGATACCTGAAGTGCTGGTTGACTTGTCCAGTAGTGTCTTGATAAGCTCTGCCTGCCAGAGTGGGGAGGAAGGAAAGTCATCCCCCAGGATTCTTTTACCTGGCCCCAGGGCTGGTCTCTGATCACTGAGAGACAGAGTCTTGAATATATTCAAGGATGTTGAGGTCTAAGGGGGCACCGAAAAGAGTCAGAAGAGTTCAAACATCCTCATTTCTAAAAGTTAGAATTTTTATTTTCTTTTGAATTATCAAGGAGAGAACCTCACCTTTTTTTTTTTTTTTTTTAAGATTTTATTTATTTGACAGCACAAGCAGGGGGAGCAGCAGAGGGAGAGGGAGAAGCAGGCTCCCCAGTGAGTCAGGAGCCCGATGTGGGGCTCCATCCCAGGACCTTGGAATCATGATCTGAGCCGAAGGCAGACGCTTAACCGACTGAGCCACCCAGGCACCCTGAGAACCTCACCTTTTAGATAAATTCTTCATGTTTTGTGACATCCTCAGAGGGAAGTGTGACCATGACACCCTCAGAGGGAAAAGTGAGTATGTGAAAGAACTTACAGGGTGAGGCTTCCGCTTGTCTTTGGAGGAAGTTAATAATTAGGTGGGTGCAAAGAATTAAATACTTTTGCGTGTGTCTATTTTCGCATAAAAACATGACACCAAACTTAAGTGGTTTCAAATAGCAAATGATGCATTAACTCACAGTTTTGGGTATCAGAAAACTACACCGGCTTCACTTGGGTAATCCTGCTCTTCACCGTCTCGGTGGAAATCACCTGAAGATGGGGGTGGGTGGGTTGGTTTGGGGGGTCTCGGATGACTTCACTCACATTTCTGTGCTGCCTTAGAGAGGGGTGGAAAGTTGGATTCAGCAGGAACTTTGAACTAGAGGACTTATATACCCATGGGCAGATTTCTTACATGGAAGTCCAGGGTGTATCAAGAAGCTCACAGAGAAGCTGCAGACTCTGTGTGTCTTGTTCTCAGAGATATAAAAAAAAAGTCACGGGCGCCTGGGTGGCTCAGTTGGTTGGGCGACTGCCTTCGGCTCAGGTCATGAGCCCGGAGTCCCGGGATCGAGTCCCGCATCGGGCTCCCTGCTCAGCAGGGAGTCTGCTTCTCCCTCTGACCCTCCCCCCTCTCGTGTGCTCTCTCTCTCATTCTCTCTCTCAAATAAATAAATAAAATCTTAAAAAAAAAAAAACAAAACAAAGTCACATCCACCAATTCTTTTAGTCAACAAGTCATCCAGTTTCAAGGTAAGGTGACACAGTAACTTTTCAGTGGGAGAAACCACAAGGAATTTGCTGTCTTCCTTAATACACCATGCACACCTACTGGGAGTTCTGGGGCAGTGGGGACACTGAGTATTGGCCGAAGAGCAGTGGGTAGGGAGACGAAAATAATCCTAATGTGATGCCACACTAAATGATGAAGATTGGAATTTATGAGAACGTTGAGGACGGGCAAGGGTTAGTGAAGCTATTGGGTAATAGGAAAGGGTTCTCAGAGGAAACACTGAAGACTCAAGGGCAGGCATCAGTTTCATCATACTTGCCTCTTCCTCTAGCATGCAAGGTCCATTCATGCAAAGGCTGTCTGTTCTGCCCCTGCTGCCACAGAGCTTCACACGGGGTGTCCTTTGTTCACTAAGTGTCAATGAGAAAAGATAAGCAGATATGAAAATGCACAAAAGTACAAATATATAGAATATTCCAGGAAGGTGAGTAGATCTCTGAAGCTGAACGTTTCTGGGCAAGGAGAGGGTCACTACGGGGTGAGGCTGTAGAGAGAAGCTTAACACTATGCCTTACTCTTTATAAAATAAATAGAATAACATATTCATAATTCTTCCAATTGTAAGATAAGATGTTCATAATAAAATATTACTTGTAAATGGGACAGCATATAATTACTATGGTTTTAGTCAGGAGTAAAACGTATTCAAATTGAGTAGTAGTTTTCACCGTGTTGTGTGATTTTCACAGAAATGTGACAGGCTCTGGCCAGCCTACCCAACCTCAGTTGATGCCCACTTCATCTTTCTGGTTGCAGACCCCACAGACCTAGGGACCAGCTTTGATTCATTCTTTTTTTTCACTCCCCACATCCAGTCCTACAGGACATCCTACTGGCCCTATCTTCAAAATATATCAGCAGTGTGAACACTTTCCATCATTCTCTCGACAACTAGCCTGGGCAGTGCCACCGTCTTCTTTTACCTGGCTTTCCTCATTGGTTGTCTGACTGTTCTACCTCTTCCTAACCTTCTCTGCAGTGTAGTCTCTACCTCCCGGTCAGCATGAACCTTTCAAAGTATAAATCGGATAGTGTCCCTATTTTGGTCAAACCCTATAACGGCTCCTATTTTATTTAGAGGAAATTCAAAATTCTTACAGAAACCTAGATGGCCTTACATTCCTTTCTCCCATGTTTGCCTCTGACCTCCTCCTTAAACTCCGCCCCACATCTAGTTCCATGTGCACTGGCACTTGGCTTTGCCTGAGACATGACACTGGCTGGTGTCTTTGTTTGGGTAAGAGATGCAACATATCTGCAGGGCTTAGTCCTTCCATCTTTTTTCAAATACTGCCTGCAGTAATCTTGTAAATGGTTCTCCATCACTACCCAGTTTATCTTGCTTCCTCCTTCATTCCCTTCTCATCCCTCGAACTCTTTTTTTCTTGCAAGGCACTTTTCATCTTACATTCAATATTTTATTTGTTATCGTCCGTCTTAACAATAACATTGGCTTGATAGAGGCAGGTTCTTCGCAAGTTTTTTTTTACCCTGGTCCCTCTCATATACCAAAAATAATGAGTGACGCTTCACCTGTGTCTGCTGAGGCAGGGAGTAAAAGTTTATCCACTTTCTCCAGTTTGTTTCTAACATTCCAACATTTCTAACATTCAGGCAATTTGTTCCTAATCAGTTCTTTCTTTTCTTCTCCCTTTCAGGCTGCCGTGGTGTAAAGTTATCAGAACTGAAAAATAATCACATTTTGGAAGCAAAATGCCTCAGGTTGGCAAGAAACAAAGCCCAACTTTGTTCTCAACTTCCTTCTCTCACTTCCTAGACCTCAATATCCTTGTCTCACCTGTCAGTTTTACCCGGTTTCTTCCAGGCATCTGAGGTGTGTTTCCTCTTGTCTGTTTCTCAGTCTCTATCTGTCTGCCTGTCTCTCTCTAATTGGTTAATCACTACAAATTGCTCCTACTAACTTTAAGTGATTTTCACATTTCATAATTGTTTTTCTGAGACAATTGCCACTCCCCAGACAGACACTCACTAAACTCACAAGTGAAATGATAATCACTAGTCAGCAAGGAGATGAGATCATATTGTCCCCAGCCTATATCTCGTGGATAAGGCTTGTGCTCTGCACTTTTGCTCAGACTGTGACCATGGCTACTTCTGTCCCAGCAAGAAAAGGTATTTGGTAAGTGGACCTTCTTTTTAGATAGATTTTTAGGAAAGTAGAATGTTTCTTTATAAAGCTCATAAGAAATATGGTGTGGACAGACATTTCTTCCTTCCCTCCCTCCACGGGTGAAATGGAACAAAGAAGAATACATGAAGTAGTGATATTTTCTGAGGGTTCCTGAGACATAGAGTCACCCCAGCCTTCCTGTCCCAGGGTTGCTTGACATCTCTTGCATGCCTTATCTGTCACAGCTCTGTCTGGAGTCCTCTCCCTGAGTGAACACACACACCCTCACAGCCCTCTGTCCTGCTTATATGGTCGGTGTGAGTGTGTTTAGCCCTTGGTTTCTGCTTAGCCACCTGGTGTCTGATAGCACCTAATACAAACATCTGTGGTGGGGGACGCCTGGGTGGCTCAGTCGTTAATGTCTGCCTTCGGCTCAGGTCATGATCCCAGGGTCCTGGGATCGAGTCCCGCATCAGGCTCCTTGCTTGGCAGGGAGCTTGCTTCTCCCACTACCTGCAGCTTCCTCTGCTTGTACTCTCTCTGCCTCTCTATCTCTCTGACAAATAAATAAAATATTTAAGGGGCACCTGGGTGGCTCAGTCGTTAAGCTAAGCTTCTGCCTTCGGCTCAGGTCATGATCCCAGGGTCCTGGGATCGAGCCCCGCATCGGGCTCTCTGCTCAGCGGGAGACCTGCTTCACCCTCTTCCATTCCCCCCTGCTTGTGTTCCCTCTCTCGTCTCTCTCTCTGTCAAAATAAATAAATAAAATCTTTAAAAGGAAAAAAAAAATAGTTTTGTTCTTGAACATGTATTAAACCAGGATGTAATGTGCATCAGGGGCAACCCACTACAGAGACAGTAAAGTCAGTAAGAACTCTCAACCTTTTATATGGTCCGGCAAATACAACCCAGGACGTACGTACATGTTCTTAAGATAAACAGCTGGACTTCAAGTAAGAGGACTTCACAGCACCATTTGTCACACAAAGTCCATTTTAAATTCACCTCAGAATGGCCTTTGGTGTTTGTTGATTGCTTTATCCTCAGGACAAATAGATTTCTCATATCTTTATGGAGGGATGGAATCTTGTAACTTGGATCCTGGCTCCTGCTGAAGTTAGGCTCCCAGCCTCCCTTGGAAACTAGGAGATGGTATCCTAGCTTCCTCCATGATTACATTTCAAAGAGATGCCCTTCTGGTCTTCAAGAAAAAGATTATGGGTTTTAAAGCTGCCAAGGGACTTACTTAATTAACTTTTATAAATATTTACATACATCTCAAAGGAAATAGGAAGAATTCACAATTAGAAGTTTTCTAAAGCAAATACTCTAAAAAAAGTGACGGATAGATGGAGTCTCTCTTTTTGCCTCAGAGAATTTTTTTTCTTTTTTGATTTGTATTTACCCTTACAAAACTCACTGCTAATTTGAACTTTAATGACCAAAAGATTTATTTGCATTTTCTAAGCATATTGGGTGAAGGTCCTTTCAAATGGAGAGAAAAGCCATAGGAATATCTGGATTGTGGAGGCCTCTGTGTGTGTGTGTGTGTGTGTGTGTGTGTGTGTGTGTGTGTGTAAGATAAAGCAGAGAAAGTAGTGATCATTTCTTCTGTTAGGTCTTGATAGATGAGAGACTTTGCAGAGGAGACATGATGGGTCACTGAGTGTTTATTTACCTAGGTGAAATGATCAGATTTCTTTAAAAACTTCAGTTGAAGTAAATTTATGTTATTGACTGTTACATTTCTCCACCAATAAACTTCAGTTTAAAATACTAAAGGAATATTTTGGAATTTTTTTATGAAATGAAAACAACTTTTAGAAAAATTTTGGGGCGCCTGGGTGGCTCAGTCATTAAGCGTCTGCCTTCGGCTCGGGTCATGATCCCAGGGTCCTGGGATTGAGTCCCACAGCGGGCTCTCTGCTCAGTGCGAAGCCTGCTTCTCCCTCTCCTACTCCCCCTGCTTGTGTTCCCTCTCTCGCTGTGTCTCTCTCTGTCAGATAAATAAATAAAATCTTTAAAAAATAAAAATAAATAAAAATTAAATAAAATCTTAAAATAATGTTTAGTCATTGAAAAATAATCTTATCTATCGCTAAATGTAGTTCTGTGATGTCTGCTTTAAAAAATTGATTTGAGGGGGGGCGCCTGGGTGGCTCAGTTGGTTAAGCGACTGCCTTCGGCTCAGGTCATGATCCTGGAGTCCCGGGATCGAGTCCCGCATCGGGCTCCCTGCTCGGCAGGGAGTCTCCTTCTCCCTCTGACCCTCCCCCCTCTCATGTGCTCTCTCATTCTCTCTCTCAAATAAATAAAAAATAAATAAATAAAATCTTTAAAAAAATTGATTTGAGGGGCACCTGGGTGGCTCAGTCGTTAAGTGTCTGCCTTCAGCTCAGGTCATGATCCCAGGGTCCTGGGACCGAGCCCCGCATCGGGCTCCCTGCTCCGCGGGAAGCCTGCTTCTCCCTCTCCCACTCCCCCTGCTTGTGTTCCCTCTCTCACTGTGCCTCTCTCTGTCAAATAAATAAATAAAAATCTTAAAAAAAAAAAGATTTAAAAAATTGATTTGAAAATTAATTTTGTTTTATTTTTTAATATTTAATTATGTATATTACTGTTTAATGGAAAAAATATGAAGCACATAATTGCCTAAATAGCACTTTTATCCAGTATACTTAGGTAACATGGATGCTATAAATGATAAATCATGGTGATTTAAGTTATATTTATTATTTCTTTTTTTTTTAATGATTTTATTTATTTATTTGAGACAGAGAGAATGAGAGAGAGAGAGCACATGAGAGGGGGGAGGGTCAGAGGGAGAAGCAGACTCCCTGCCGAGCAGGGAGCCCGATGCGGGACTCGATCCAGGGACTCCAGGATCATGACCTGAGCCGAAGGCAGTCGCTTAACCAACTGAGCCACCCAGGCGCCCCATATTTATTATTTCTAATAAACTCAATAGCAATATTATTTTCCATAGTAAGAGCTGTTTCTTTTCAATATTAGTCTGTATTCCAGTAGTAAATTGAGAATATGCATGATTTCCTGGAAGCTTTTTTTTTTAAGCTTTTACTTTGATGTTTTAATAGCTTTCACAGTCTAAGAGTTTTTAGTAAGTGCTCAGTGGCTTACCTAGATCGCATCTGAATGGTATGCCATTATTTCGAAATGTTGAATCTTTTTTTTTTTTAAAGATTTTATTTATTTATTTGACAGAGAGAGAGATAGCAAGAGCAGAAACACAAGCAGGGGGAGTGGGAGAGGGAGAAGCAGGCTTCCTGCTGAGCAGGGAGCCCGATGTGGACTCGATCCCAGGACCCTGGGATCATGACCTGAGCCAAAGGCAGACGCTTAACGACTGAACCACCCAGGCGCCCCTGAAATGTTGAATCTTTTCATTGTTTTCACAAATACTGACTTTGAAATCTGGCCTAATTCAAGATCCTCAAAATTATCTGTTCATGTATTGCATTTTTCAAAAGTACATATATTATGTGAGGGTTTTTTGTGCCTATGCACCATGTCTGTTAGAATCCAAAACTTGGGGTGCCTGGCTGGCTCAGTTGGTAGAGCATGCGACTCTTGATCTCACGAGTTTGAACCCCATGTTGTGTGTAGAGATTACTTAAATAAAATCTTTTTAAAAAACCCCACAAAGCTTCAGTTTGTCTAAGTGTAAACAAAGTTCCACTTAGTTTGGTTTTTCTCTTTTTTAAGATTTTATTTAGGGCGCCTGGGTGGCTCAGTTGGTTGAGCAACTGCCTTCGGCTCAGGTCATGATCCTGGAGTCCTGGGATCGAGTCCCGCATCGGGCTCCCTGCTCGGCAGGGAGTCTGCTTCTCCCTCTGACCCTCCTCCCTCTCATTCTCTCTGTCTCAAATAAATAAAAAAATAAAAAATCTTAAAAAAAAAGATTTTATTTGAGAGAGAGAGAAAGAAAGAGGGTGGGGAGGGGCAGAGGGAGAGGGAGAAGCAGGCTCTCCACTGAGCAGGGAGTCCAATGCAAGGCTCAATCCCAAGTCCATGGGATCATGAACTGAGCCGAAGCAGACACTTAACCGTTTGAACCATCCAGGCACCCCTGAAGGATTGGTTTTTGAAACTCTCAGAATCACTTTTCTTTTCCTCAAATGTGTTGTAGGTTCTAGCTGTGATAGAGAAACAGGGTCTGAATGACACCCTGCACAGTGGAGAGCCGATTATGTATGGGGTTAAGAGAGGAGGCAGGGACCCAGAAGCAGGCTACTGCAATTTAGTCCAGGTGAATTGGTTGTTGAACCGGATGGTGGCTGTAGAAGTGAGAGAAGTGATTGGATTCTGGGTCCATTTTTTAAAAAGGGCCAAGTAGACTTTTGGATATTGTAGGTGAGGGAGAGAAAGGAAGAGTCAGAAAGGACCCCAGGCATTTTGGTCCTAGCAGCTGAAGCAATGGAAGCTCCATCAACTAGGATGGTGAAGTTGGTGGGTAGTTACTTTTCACTGGGACTATCAGGAGTTTTGATAGTTAAGAATCTATAATGTTTCAGAGAATGGTGAATGAAGTCATCAAGTAGGCAGCTGGACACACAGGACTGGAGATCTGGGGAGCAGTTCAAGAGGGAGATGTTCGAAAGTGGTGGCTATGGTGTGGACCAGGATGCAGCGTTGGATTGCATGGAGGAGGGGGAATTCATGTTATGGTGTTGATGTTCTTAATAGGTTAGGAAGATGGTGAAGAGGACTGAGTCTATTGCTCAGGCACATGGTTGAGGTTGGTGGGCACACAAAAATGAAGGGAGGATTATCTGGCAGGTGACCAAGGCTTCCGTGGGATGAGTGGACATGAGATGGCTGTGGAGGCATGGGAGTAATTGAGACAAGATGACACTGAGGCCAGGCTCCTGCTTATTCACAACTGTACAGAATCAGCATAATTTTGGGGTGAGCTTTGGTGGGGCCTGGGGTTTTTCAGTCTTGCGGGTGGTTAAGATCTGGAGTAAAAGTTGTCATCTATGAGAGCCACTATACCTGGCAGGGGGATCAGTGGTGTCGGGATTTTTTTAAAAAAGATTTTATTTATTTATTTGAGAGAGAGAGTGAACACAAGCAGGGGGAGCAGCAGCAAGAGAGGGAGAAGCAGACTCCCCACTGAGGAGGGAGCCCAATGCGGGGCTCGATTCCAGGATCCTGAGATCATGACCTGAGCTGAAGGTAGATGCTTAACTATCTGAGCCACCCAGGTCCCCCTGGTGCTGGGATTTTTTTTTTTTTAAGATTTTATTTATTTATTGAATGAGAGAGAGAAAGCACATGAGAGGGGGGGAGGGTCAGAGGGAGAAGCAGACTCCCTGCCGAGCAGGGAGCCCGATGCGGGACTCCAGGATCACGACCTGAGCCGAAGGCAGTCGCTTAACCGACTGAGCCACCCAGGCGCCCGGTGCTGGGATTTTAATGAAAGTTTCTTAGAGAATAATGGATAATGGCTACTGAGGGGAGAGCAAGTGCAGCACAGAAGTGGAAGAGGGCATGAGTGTCTCTCAAATGGAGTTCTGGGTGGTTAATACTGCAGAAAGGTTCACAGGTAGGCTGTGAGGCCTTCAAAGCAGCATTCAGGGTTTTCCCAGGCTGTGGGATCCATCAGAGGTCTGGAGTTGTGCTGGATCATGTTTGAATTTGTCAAGTACTCTTTGGATGCCATGTGCCGAGTACCTGGGTGAGTCCAGGAACACACCTGTGGAGTGGGGCAGGGGGAGGTGGTGGTGACTGTTAAAATGTGCCTGTGGTGTCTGGAGATGTGAGAAAGTATGGTCCACAGAATGATGTGCATATAGAACGGAAGTGTGACCTAATGGCCCCAGGGCCTTGCTTATGGGAACTGAAGGTGAAGTTGTGAAGCCAGGTTTGGTTGTATCTAGGAGTCATAGGAAACAGCGAGAGAGAGAGAGCACACAAGCAGAGGGAGAGGCAGGTAGAGGGAGAAGCAGGCTTCCTGCTGAGCAAGGAGCCCTGTGCAGGACTCGATTGCCGGACCCTGGGATCATAACCCAAGCCAAAGGCAGCCGCTTAACAGACTGAGCCCCGCAGGCGTCCGTATCTAGGAATCATGATCTTAGGGACCCCAGGGTTATTGCCTGGCAGGAGGGTTTGGGCCCTGAAGGCCAGGCCCGCTGCTTAGATGGCATCTGCCCATCTGCCTGTTGGTGGTGACGCTGAGCAGAGTATTAATGCGACTCAGGAGAGCATGGGCTTCAGTGGGACCAGGGACTGGTATCTCCTCTGAGATGTGGATCTCTGGAGGAAGATGAGTTTGTATTGTGGGACCTCAGAGAGGCTACTCCTGATTTCTCCTGTCCCTATCATTGACAGGCGCCATGACATTTGAAGAAATGCTTGTGTATTTGTGGGAGGAGTGGGGGTTCCTGGATGAGGTTCAGAAATGCCTGTAGCACAGTGTGAATCGAAAGAACTTTACACTTACATCCTCATATCCTTACTGGGCAAGGCACTCATACCCTCCCCAGTGCCCTAATCTAAGCCTCACATCCCCCCTCCCCAACCCTGCTTTCCCCAGAGGGTGCTCTTCCTTCTCACATCAGGACTAAGGACACTGCTTCCATCCCCAGTTCCCTGGGCAGGTGCTGTGGTTGATAGGGCTGGATTGTTTGCACTGACCTTTTCCCTCCCCTACAGCCCCAACATCTGCTGCCCAGAAAGCCTCACAGGGAAAGATTGAGCATCAGTACTCTTACGGTGAGCCGAAGGATCTTGCCTTGCTTGCATTCTCCCTGACCGGTGACTGCATTTATGTCCATGGCACATCTGTACGTTAGGTTGTGCTTCCTTACTTCAGCTGGCATTTCCTTGTGCTGGCTTGTGCCAGGAATTACTTGTATTCTCATGGCTGCTACTACCTGGACCATGGACTGTTTTTCAAGCCTCCCACTCACTTCTCTTTGTCGTGTTTAGATCTCTTTTCTGTGGTCCGTTGTGTGCTGATTTGCCGTGGCCCAGTAGTAGCCACTCATCTGGCGTTTTTTCCCTCCAGTGCTTGTATCCTCCATGTCCCACGTATTTGCTCAACTAGGACCTTGGGAAGAGTTCTTTCCGCATCACAGATTGGACATGACCCAAGCCACAGCAGCGTGGGCTCAGAGGGGGCCTGGCCCTGGTAGATGGCAGCTGGGGACAGTGTGTTGTCAGGGCTGTGTTCAGATCACACCAGCAACCTGTCTGGTTCAACCAGTGTTTGTCAGTGGCCACACCCCCTTCCTTCCTTCCTTCCTTCCTTCCTTCCTTCCTTCCTTCTTTCCTTCCTTCCTTCCTTTCTCTCTCTCTCCCTTCCTTCCTTCCTTCCTTCCTTTTAAAAAATTTTATTTACTCGTCAGAGAGAGAGGGAGCAGAAGCAGGGGAAGCAGCAGGCAGAGGGAGAAGCAGACTCCCTGCCGAGCAAGGAGCCTTACCTGGGACTCGATCCCAGGACCCTGGGATCATGACCTGAGCCGAAGGCAGACGCTTAACTGACTGAGCCACACAGGCATCCTCTATCTTTCCATTGTTGATATTTTGCTGACTTGTTGAAGCCTAGGGAAAATCTCCCCCTCTCTGTACTCCACATCCTACCCGTCTCTCTCACCACTCCTTCTGAAGTGCTCTGCAACATTGACCTGCATATGTTGTGTCCTAAGGTGTACACATATCTTGATATCGGCCTTGAACTCCCACTTGTCTGTTGGAACTGGATTGTCCTGGGCTTTCACACACCTCTGCATAGCCTTAAATGTCACCAGCAGACAAGTTCCTGATGAAAGCCTTTGGTGGAAGAAGTTGTACATCTGCCTTGCTTCCCTATGCCACACACCCTGTCCTTGTGTCCTCCTGGTGAGGCTGCTACCAATATATGACCTTACGGGTCCAGTAAGGCACAGTAGCCACTTCTGCAACCAGAACCCCACTCCCATTTCTTTTCTTTTTTTTTTTAAAGATTTTATTTATTTGACAGAGACATAGCGAGAGAGGGAACACAAGCAGGAGGAGTGGGAGACGGAGAAGCAGGCTTCCCGTGGAGCAGGGAGCCCGATGTGGGGCTCGATCCCAGGACCCCGGGATCGTGACCTGAGCCGAAGGCAGACGCCTAACGACTGAGCCGCCGAGGCGCCCCCCCCCCACTCCCATTTCTTGAAAAGCATCCCCTGGACTTATTTCTGGTTGCATTTCAATTGAGTAATTCAATTGGTTGTAATTCAGTGAATCAGTGTAGACACATTCCTCCAGTAACATCAACACATACTTCACTGTCACTTCTTTGCTTTCAGGTTATTGGTGTGGAACCGAGAACAAAGAGGTACCTTCTGAACAGTGTTTCTTTAGGAGTAGCACAGATCAGGACTCCCAAGGCAGGTCTCTTCATCTAGAAAATCCACCCTTGTGATATGTGTATTCATATCTTGAAGTACATTTTACAGTTGGCTGAGCACCATGGAAAATGGACAGAAACTGTATACAAGAGAGCAGCATGTACCAAACATTTTTATTTCCGTGCAAACCCTCAGTGTCACCAGGATCAGCATATTGGTGAAAAACTTTAGAAGCAACATGGAAAGGGCCTCATGTGTGAAGAGCTGCAAGTTCCAGGTGTTAAGGAAGCCCTTTACCTGGGGGGAGGTTAGGAAGGACTTACCGGCCACCCCAAGCTATTTCTACAGGAAGGAGAGGCCAAACAAAACCATCACATGTGGGTTGGCAGAAAAAGTCATCACAACTGGGGAAAATGCAAGAAAGCCTTCGGCTACACAGACACACTTGCTCAGAACCAGGTGTCTACACTGGAGAAAAGCCTTAGAGTGTAGTGAATATAGGAAATCTTTTAGCTATAGTTCCACCTTCGATTATTAATGGAGAGTTCACACTAGAGAAAGACCTTAGTTGTGGAGGGAAAGTGCAATCTCCTTGTTCAGTGTTAACAGAAATGGATCAAAGCCTCTGTGAGTAGCCATCTGCCTCATTTGAATCTCATACATCTAAACCTTCATAGAGGGAAGGTTCCCCATAAATTTCATTTATGTAGGAAGCATGTGTGGCTATGATGCACTTTCTAACTTGCCCAGGGCTCTCTCCAGATTTATGTCACTGCCAGTTTCTGTGGCCAGAGCCACTTCATCTCTACCACATGGCAGGTCCCCACAGTGTGCATCAGTCACCACCCCAATGTGCTCAGGGAAGCTGACATCCGTTCTGTAATGTATTCGAGCAAAGTAGGAGTAACCTGAGCCTTTCATAGGTCCACATTCCCTTCTCTCTGACTAGTTGGCAAGGACCTCACCCAGTTTTGGCCCAGAGGAAACCAAATGAATTCTACTGGCAGCTTGCCAAGAACTACTTTTTTCAGGCACGTTTGTCTCACGTGATATTTGTAATACCTTTTCCAGCTCCCAAGTCTCCAACCTGAGAACTGCCTACCACACGTTGCTTTGGTTTGTACAATAAGAAAGACCTTATTGTTTCAATCCTCTCTAAATTTGGGGTTCTAGTTACTATGCAGTGGTTTATAATAGATTTGGGCCCTGCACACATTACAATTTTTGTCAGTATGGCAGAAAATGGCACCTCAGTTTTGGGCAAATTTGTATTGCTGCCTATGGCCGCTTTATGGTAAAGATCTGTCACGCTCATCAATGGCATGGATGCCTGGGTGATTAGTCTCCAGATAACCGCATATGGCCCCCTTAAAGAGGGGCAGCCGATCCTCTACCCCTGAGCTGGGGCCTTCCATTTCCCAGAGCGCCTCGCAGTAAATATTTGTGGGCCTTTTCTCCTGGAGTCAGGTGGGGAACCCGCTTACCTAGACCTTGGGAGCTGTGGGAACTACATTTCCCAGAACGCCCTGCGCTGAAGACGGCGTAGCTGAGCCAATGAAGGCTTAGAAAAGGGGCGTTTCCGATTGAGCACAAAGCGTCGGGGCGGGGCTTGCGGCCCCCAGTCCGTGGCCATCATCTTGGCCGCCTGCTGGTGTCGTCCGCTTGTGGGAGGTTCCGGAGAGCGGGGCCGGGGGCGAAAGGAGGCTTTGTCCCGGCTGTAGGGAGGCGGGTCTAGGGTCGGGGGTATCGCCGCCTGCGAGGACCGCCTGGAGACCTCGGTGCCCGCGACTGCCCGGCTCGCTCAGCTGTCATCACCTCACTCCGCCCAGAGGCTCCGATGGCGGCGGCCGCGCGCAGGGACCCGGCTCCGGTAAGCGTCGTCCCCGCACCCAGACCCCCGCGGCCCAGGCCCCGGCGTCCGGGACAGGCGGGCGGCGGCGGGCGGGGGCCCCGTGCGGGAGCGGGCTCCGGGCCGAGGGCGGCCGGGGCCGAGGCTGCAGGGGCGCTGGAGGGAGGCTGCAGGGGGCCTGAGGCGGGAGGAGTCTGCCCTCGGGGGACAGCGCGTGAGGGGGGTCACGCCCGGACTGCGGGCCGAGGTGCCGAACCTTCAGGTGAGGACTCTAGGCGCCACGGGGACTCTGGCCGAAGGAGGGACATGAGGGGTGATGAGGACATTGAGGCCCTGAGAGGTTTAGTTGGTAAAAGGCAAAATTGAGCCCTCAGGCACAGAGCGTAGAAGGCAGCCTGAGGTCGCCTGGCTCCAGGGTCAGGCCGGGGTACAGTGAGCCCATCGAATCCCACCATGGACACATTTCTTAAAGGCCTGCCTCTTCAGCACAGATTCTTACGGCTGGAGAAGTGCTTGGAACCTGCACAGCGAAGTGGAGGGCGTCTCAGTCCCTCACTGGCCCCAGACCCTCATCCCCACGTTCTCTGGATCGTGGTGTCCCGAGGCTCTTCATGCCCTTCTTCCGTCCTTGAGTCTGGTGATCCTGGACAACCCCTAAGCCCAGGGTCCTAAGTCCAGGTCAGGGGTTATATGCAGGCATTCCCTTTTCTGGTAACCATTTGTAAACAGGTGTGGAAGGTTAACCCAGGAGTGGGTACCAGGATGTGCAAGTGCCTCAAGGTAAAACTGAAGTCGGGAATGTTCAAAAACCACAGGTCTCCTTTCTTCCAGGTAGGAATAAATAGCAAATGGGTAGGTGTCCTGTCAAGTGACTGCCTGAGATGTTGGGTGTGTATTCTAGAAGTAGTAAAAGTTTTCGATCACAGGAAGGAGGTGATGTTACCAAGGTCTTAAGAGGCTTCATCTGGCTTCACAGTGGAAAACAGACTATGGGCTTGAGAGAGCACAAAGGACAATCATTGTGCAGGCTACTGCTATAGTCCAGGTGAGGGTTAATGGACCAGGGTTGTTGCTTAGGAAATGGTTATATTCTGGCTGTGTGGGTTTTTTTTTTTTTTTTAAGATTTTATTTATTTATTTGACAGAGAGGGAGACAGCGAGAGAGGGAACACAAGCAGGGGGAGTGGGAGAGGGAGAAGCAGGCTTCCCATGGAGCAGGGAGCCCGATGCGGGGCTCGATCCCAGGACCCTGGGATCAGCTTAACGACTGAGCCACCCAGGCGCCCAGAAGAGTGACTTCTAAGCATGTAGGGGTGAGGTAATACAAGGAGCTGGGCGCACAGGCGCCGCTGACGAAACCTGCTCTTCATGTGTTGGGTGTTTCATTTCCAGTTGTCTCCACCTCTGGGAGTGATTTATAGCATTGTAATGAGGTAAAGGTAACTGCTGGTCACTCGCTGGCCCATCTGCACAGGCGTGAGTCCGTGAGTCGGGGGTTAAGCTCAAACTGGTCTGGGTGGTTTCACCCACTAGAGGCCAGAACTCTTTGTCCTGCAGTCGTTATTGTTTGAGGGGTAGTTTTCGTTTCCATCCTGGGATGCTATGCCCTTTGGGTCTTTTGCTTGAGTTAGGAGATAAGCTAGAAAGAGGAACCTAAGGAAGAATGTGGAACAAATGCTGGTGGATACAAGCAGGTGAGAAGTAAAGGTCAGGTCTTGGGATCTAGCTGATGGGAAATTCAGATGAGCAAGTTGGTGTTCACTGAGATTATCAGGAGCTTTGTTCTGACCATTTTAAGAGTCTGAGGTGTTGGGCGCCTGGGTGGCTCAGATGGTTAAGCGTCTGCCTTCGGCTCAGGTCATGATCCCAGGGTTCTGGGATCGAGCCCCACATCGGGCTCCCCGCTCAGCGGGGAGCCTGCTTCTCCCTCTGACCCTCTCCCCTCTCATGCTGTTTCTCTCTCGCTCACTCTCTAAAAAATAAATAAAATCTTAAAAAAAAAAAAAGAGTCTGAGGTGTTTCACAAATCACTGAAGGAGGCATCAAAGAGCAACTAACATACAGGTCGGGAAATCTGGAGAGGGATTCAGGTTAGAGACATCCAAAATGTGGTTACAGTGTGGGCCAAGATGAGTAAGCAGTGGGTCACATTGAGGCAAACTTGAGGTTGTGGTGGCAAAACTCTCTGGGGGCCAGGTGTGGAGCGTGGGAGCCCAGGACTGGGTCTTTTGCTTGGATACCTGGTTGATGGTATTAGGCTTCACAAAGGTAGGTAAGTGGACATGAAGGTTTGGTGTATCAGACAGGATAGTCTGGTAGGTGGCCAAAGCTTCCAGGGGAAGAGTGGCTTTCCAATGGATGCAGAGACAAGGGGTAATGGATGAAAGATGACACTCAGGCCAGAGCTGGTACTTACTCGTCACTTTTTAGACTTAGCAAGATTTTGTGAGGACTTTGGTGGGGCCTGAGGTGTTTCATTCAGCCTGATTAGGGGTAAGTAGGGTCACCTGTGAGAATCACTAGGTCTGGGGCGCCTGGGTGGCTCAGTTGGTTAAGCGACTGCCTTCGGCTCAGGTCATGATCCTGGGGTCCCGGGATCGAGTCCCGCATCGGGCTCTCTGCTCGGCAGGGAGTCTGCTTCTCCCTCTGACCCTCCTCCCTCTCATGCTGTCTCTCATTCTCTCTGTTTCAAATAAATAAATAAAATCTTAAAAAAAAAAAAAAAGAGAATCACTAGGTCTGGGATGGGCAATTAATGGGAGTGGTCTTGGAATGACAGGGGGAGAGAAAAAATTTTTATTTGCTGAGGTGACAGCAAGTGCATCAAGGAAATAGAATGGAACTATGGATATCTGAGATCCACACATGGTTCTGTGTTCTAAGTCTGAGGCAAGGATCAGAGCCACAAGGTGAGGCCTTCATAAAATGATTTGGAGTAACACTGCTATTGGAACCCATGGGAAGTCGGTGATCTTATGGGATCCTGTGTGAATTTGCTAAGAATACTGTGGATGCTATCTGCCAAATTGTGGCATAAGGCCTAAACCCGATATGATGAGCTTCCTTGACGTTTGGCGAGACCAAGTGCTCAAATGGCCTGCGTGCAAGTTCTCCTCCCCACACTGCTTCATGGGATAATAGCTCGTAGCCCAACAGCGCTCTTCATAAAGGGAACATGGCGCAGTTCCTGCTCATCTCTTTGTAGCAGGTTTCAGTTCCCTACCAGCCCACAGACTTACACAAACAAGCCAGTCACATCCTCCTGTGGGATTCAGAGTGCTCCCAACCTTTTCATTCTACGAGCATAGCATCTCACAGCCCCTGTTTGTTCACTCTTTTTCAGAATGCAACTCCCTTGTGGGCCTTTATGGTGAGTGGTATCCTTTTCTCAGAGGTGTGAATTTATGTGGTAAATAAACTGCTGTCAGGCTCATCTGTCCAGTCTCAGGTGTCACGTGTTTGGCCATCACCATAGTCTAAGAGTGGGATTAAGAGGAAGCAGTAACATCTGGGTAGGTCAGGCAGATGCATATGGAGCAGGACAGTGAGGTAGTGGCAGTCATGGTCATGCAGCTGTGGGATATGGAGACTGAGGGATGTGTAGTCTAAAGAATGATGTGTCCTTGGAGAGGGAGCATTGTTAGATGGTCCCAGGGCCCTGAGTTTATAATTACATGGCAATGACCATACCAGGGGAATTGCTTGTCAGGAGTCGTGGATCCCGGTATGCTAGGCCCACAGCTTAGATATGTATTTGTCCACCTGTCTCTTGCTAGTGGTTGAACCCAGTGGTCAATGGGACCATGAGGAGACAACAACACCGATGCTACCAGGCCCTGATTTCTCCTCTAAGTTGGGAGGCTTGAGCTATAGATGGTCATAGGGTAGATGTGTGGGGGAAGGGATTGTGGCTCCTCGGAAGTAGACTATTTGTGGTTTCATCCATCATCATCATCATCATAGCAGGGCAGTGTGACCTTTCAAGATGTAGCTTATAGTTGTCTACACTATAAGCAAGAGAAGCAGATTTACTATCACTGTTACTGAATTTTGAATCAAAATATCCTGGAATACTAGATGACATGAAATGTGAGCCTACAAATATATAAAGTTGATTAAATAAATAGTGGGATGTTCTAAAGGGAACTAAAACCCTAGAAACTGTACTTGGAACATTTGTTTTTCTTGCCCAGCAGGTAAAGCAGAACTGAGAGACCCACATGTCACTGTCAAAGAGCATGAAGGGATGAAGGTCAGGGAGCCTGAAGAGACCGGTATAGAGGTGTTCATCAGACCATGTTGTAGGTTCATAGTCAGGGTTACTCAAAAAGATAAAATGGAAGAAAGTAAAAGGAGACCAACATATTCATCAGGATGAGATTGGCTTTTGTCCCATCAAGATGAGAATGGAGCTTGGGGCTTTGGTTTCACAGAAAGGTCTGGGGGAAAGGCCGTGGCCGTGAATGTGTTGGATGTGCTGCTTGTGCGTGAGCGGAACAAGGACGTGGCACCACTTGGTAGATGAGGCCAGAGCACATAATGCCAGTGAAGGACAAGATGCATACATGCAGTGAGATAATATTTCTGGAATATCCAATAAACAGTCCTATATATTTTTTCAGTAGTCTTTTTTGTTGTTTATTTTGGAGCCATTTACTTTCATAGGAGTAAATTTATTTAAGGGAGATGCAAGGTATAGGAGAGGAAACAGCAGAAGCCAGTGACACTTTGGGAACATCATTCTAAGCTCCATCCACTGCAAAGTATTGTGGCAAAACTTAAGGTTCTGAAAGCCACTCAGAAAGCAGGTAATGCTAAGAAGAACCTTCTGCCCTTTTTGTGAAAATAAAGACAGTTAATATCCCACATCATTCCAGAAAATAAATTCCATTCAAAAGCTGCCATTGGCTGGCAAATCTCGTTAGAGAGAAGCTTTACGGATAAGCTTAAAGATAAGTTGGTTGAAATTCAAGTCTGTCAATAGCACCTTCTATGCAGTGAGCAAAGTAAAATTATAAAGATAAGTGAGGTAAAGCATTTCCAAGGATCCCAGATCCAGTATGGTTGAGAAAGGTAATATCCAAATTTAAGTTAGAAACAATTTTATCAATTTAGAGGACTTGAATTTTTCTTGAATCAGAGAAATATGCAAACTTTAAAATAAAATTGGCTTGGGGCACCTGGCTGGCTCCGTCGCTGGAGCATGGGACTCTTGATCTCAGGGTCATGAATTTGAGCCCCATGTTGGGTGTAGGGCTTACTTAAAAAATATATTGATTAATTAAATTAAATAAATTTATTTTTTTATAATAACAAAAAGATTGAAACCTATCTGATGTCTATCAGTGGAAAATTGAATAAATCATGATGCATACCAAGATGGAGCATTAGACAGTGTGGAGATGATAAGGAAGTTCTCTTAACTGCTACAATCCAGAACATACTGTTTGGTGAAAAAGAAGAGGAAGCAGGTGTCACAATATTTTGTGCAGGTAGCTTTATTTTCCTAAGAATGGAAGGGAAATTTATTTTTCTTTGTTTCTCTTCAGTGTCATTATGGCTTGATTGGCTGATACTACAAGAACCTACTGAATATATTGATGTTAACTTGACAAAAATAGAGATAAGGAGATACTATGTTCCTTTGGAATGTCATATAGAAAAAAGTAGCAGTGGCTCCATATGAATAATTCTACCCAAATACCAAATCAAATTTTGATCCCATCCGTTGATTAAGTGAGTGTTTAAAGGAACAATGGGGCATTGAGGATTATATTAAAATACATTATGAGGAAGCAGTAAGCCCCATTAATATATGTGAAATTCTATAAGATATATGAACCTTTTCATAAAATGTGATATGTTAAGATAAAAGGAACAGGATATAATAAAGTCTAGAGAATATATAAATATGATACAATGGTCAGAAAAATATTTGAATGCTGATTCCAACAAACAACTCTGAATATTTAATCAACATATCAGAATTTGAATAATGACTTGGTATTTGATGATTTTAAGCAACTTAATTTATATGTAATAAAGATATTGTATATTAAATAAAATATTCTTTTATAAAAAATATTCCTTTATGAACATTCACTGAAGTGTTTAGAGGCACAATTACATGGCTTCTTAAATTATCCTTAACGTGAATTGGCTTTGGAGGGAACTTGGGTGGGTTTATACATGAAATGAGTTTGGCAGTGGGTGGGTCCTGTGAAACTATGTTATGGGTCCATATGATTCATTTATTAACCCTTTCTGTTTTGTAGATGTCTGAAAATTGGAAGTTATTAAAATGTCATTATTTCAATAATTAACAAATTCAGATAAATATTTTTCCTCTATTTGCTAAAACAATTCTTTTATTTTCTAGGGCACCATTCTTTATATTGCATTGTTTTAGCCTTCAATTTTGAGAGTATTACATCTCTTTTTTTTTTTAAGATTTTTAAAATCATTTATTTATTTATTTATTTATTTATTTTTTAAAGATTTTATTTATTCATTTGAGACAGAGAGAATGAGAGACAGAGAGCATGAGAGGGAGGAGGGTCAGAGGGAGAAGCAGACTCCCTGCCGAGCAGGGAGCCCGATGCGGGACTCGATCCTGGGACTCCAGGATCATGACCTGAGCCGAAGGCAGTTGCTTAACCAACTGAGCCACCCAGGCGCCCCTAAAATTATTTATTTATTTGACAGAGAGAGAGCGCGAGAGCAGGAACACAAGCAGGGGGAGTGGGAGAGGGAGAAGCAGGCTTCCCGCTGAGCAGGGAGCCCGAGGCGGGGCTCGATCCCAGGACCCTGGGATCATGACCTGAGCCGAAGGCAGATGCTTAACAACTGAGCCACTCAGGTGCCCCGCCCCTGAAGTCTCTTTCTATTACTCTGTTTCTCATCATTTTTCCTAAGCAAGGATCAACAACTTAAATGCCTTCCACACTGGGAGGAGAGGGCAGTGAAAGGAGTAAAGTCAGCAACGTGGGGTAGAGCTTGCATGCTGAAGAAGAGAAGACCCAACTATGTTGGCCATTATTTTGTATTTATGATCAATTTTTTACTTTGTTAAGCAGGTCATCAAATCCAGATTATTATTTTTTAAATTAGACTGTATTTTTTTTAGGACAGCTTTAGGTTCACAGCAAAATTGTGTGGAAGCTGTAGAGGTTTCCTGTATATCCCTTTTCCCCCACATAAACACAGACCCCTCTACTCTCAACATCCTACATCAGAGTGGTATATTTTGTTACAATCAACGAATCTGCACTGACATCATTTTCACCCAAAGTCCACAGTTAACATTGGGGTTCACTTTTGGTCTTATGCATTCTGTGGGTTTTGACAAGTGTATAATGACATGTATCCACCATTACCGTAGCATACGTAGTTTCACTGACCCTAATATCTGTGCTCTGCCTATTCAGCTCTCTCTTCCCACTAGTCCCTAGCAAACACCAATACTTTCACTGTCTCCACAGTTCGACCTTTTCCAGAATGTCATATACTTGCAGTCCATATAGCATGTACTCTTTTCAGATTGGCTTCTTTCACTCAGTAATATGCATTCAGGTTTCCTCCATGCCTCTTCATGATTTGTGAACTTTTCAGTGCTGAATAATATCCCATTGTCTGGACGGACCATAGTTTATTTATTCATTTACCTACCGAAGGACATCTTGGTTGCGTCTTAGTTTCGGCAATTATGAATAAAACAGCTATAAATAAATACCTATCATCAGGCTTTTATGTGGACATACATTTTCAACTGCTTTAAGTAAATACCAAGGGGCACAGTGCCAGATTGTATGATAAGATTATGATTAGTTTTGTAAGAAACAACCAAACTGTCATCCAAAGTGGCTGTACCATTTTGCATTCCTACCAGCAACGAATGAGAGTTTCTGTTGCTCCATATCCTTTCCAGCATTTGTCGTATCAGTGTTCTGGATTTTGGCTATTTCTAATAGTTATGTAGTGATATCTCATTGTTTTATTTTGAAATTCCTAATAACAAATGATGTTGAGCATCTTTTTTATTTTTATTTTATTTATTTATTTAAAAGATTTTATTTATTTATTTGACAGAGAGAGACACAGCGAGAGAGGGAACACAAGCAGGGGGAGTGGGAGAGGGAGAAGCGGGCTTCCCGCCAAGCAGGGAGACCAATGTCGGGCTCGATCCCAGGACCCTGGGACCATGACCCGAGCTGAAGGCAGAAGCCCAACGACTGAGCCACTCACGCGCCCCCTATTTATTTATTTTTTAAAGATTTTCTTTATTTATTTGACAGAGAGACACAGCAAGAGAGGGAACACAAGCAGGGGGAGTGGAGAGGGAGAAGCAAGCTTCCCGCAGAGCAGGGAGCCCGATGCGGGGCTCGATCCCAGGACCCTGGGATCATGACCTGAGCTGAATGCAGATGCTTAATGGCTGAGCCACCCAGGTGCCCCGAGCATCTTTTCATATGTTTGTTTGCCATCCATATATCATCTTTGGTGAGGTATCTGTTCATGGTTATGTTAAAACAAAAACAACAACATAGTTTTATTAGCCACATTTAAGTTAATAGTACCTAAATCACCTAAAATTTAGCAACCTAAAATTTAGATGCTCTCAGAGAATTCAAATTAGGATTCATCATAGCATCACTTACTTGAAATCCATAATAATATTTTACTTGTTTCAATTAATAGTCAATAAATCATTAAATAACAATAAATTATTAACTGGAATTAGACTTAGGGACCATCAGACATTTGGTAAATTACAGATTAGTTCCTGCGAATATATGCTAACAAATAAAAAATATTTCTGGAGGCATGCCCAACAATTGATGACAGAACTTAACTCTTGCATTATAGAGGATGGGGAGTGGAAGAGGAGAAAGAGGAAATACCATTTATTGTATGAATATGCACATAAATCTCAAAATTTTCTAAACAAAAATATTTTATACATATTGAAGAAATAATAAGGAAAACATTGATAAAAAGTGTGTGTATAAAATTAATCAATACATACAAATAATAAAAAATTATAGGGGAGAGCGCCTGGGTGGCTCAGTTGGTTAAGCGACTGCCTTCAGCTCAGGTCATGATCCTGGAGTCCCGGGATCGAGTCCCGCATCGGGCTCCCTGCTTGGCGGGGAGCCTGCTTCTCCCTCTGACCCTCTTCCCGCTCGTGCTCTCTGTCTCTCATTCTCTCTCTCTCAAATAAATAAATAAAATCTTTAAAAAAAAAAATTGTAGGGGAATTATAATAATGAGAAATTACAAAATGAATTTAAATAATCAGATATATCATTTAAATGGGAGTCAGGGGGTGCCTGGGTGGCTCAGTGGATTAAGGGGCTGCCTTCAGCTCAGGTCATGACCTCGAGGTCCTGGGATCCAGCCCTATGTTGGGCTCCCCTCTGAGCAGGGAGGCTGCCTCTCCCTCTGCCCCTTCCCCTGCTCATGCTCACATGCTCTCTCTTACTCTGCTCTCTCTCAAATAAATAAAATCTTGAAAAAAAATTTTTTTTAAATGGGAGTCAGGGGCGCCTGGGTGGCTCAGTCGTTAAGCGTCTGCCTTCGGCTCAGGTCATGATCCCGGAGTCCCGGGATCGAGTCCCACATCAGGCTCCCTGCTCGGTGGGAAGCCTGCTTCTCCCCCTCCCACTCCCCCTGCTTGTGTTCCTGCTCTCGCTATCTCTCTCTCTCTGTCAAATAAATAAAAAATATTTTAAAAAATAAATAAATAAAAATAAAATGGGGGTCAGAACCACAAAATTTGGGTAAATCATAGAGATCACAAAAGATCTTTGATTCCTGGACCTGTTGTAGTTACATGTCTCACCCCCATTAAGAACTGAAGTCATTTGTGAAAAAAATCAAGACTGTTTATTGACTAAATTGGTACATCTTACTTTCAGTGGGAGTGATGGGAAAATCCCCATCTCACAGCTCTGTGTTTTAGATTTTGGAGGTCAGATCAGACCCAAGTTGTCACTGCTCAAAGAATGAGTGGGGCAATTACTTTAGAAATCCTAACAAATGTGGAACAGATGCTGATGTTCAGGGATCACCAAAAAAGCACTTTTATATGTACCAGAGAAACACTTAGATCCCAACACCATTATACACCTTCATTGTTTCTGCCCTCTTAGCTTGGCAATCTTTTTTTTTTTTTTTTTAAGATTTTATTTATTTATTTGTCAGAGAGAGAGAGAGTGAGCACAAGCAGCAGGAGTGGCAGGCAGAGGGAGAAGCAGGCTCCCCACTGAGCAAGGAGCCTGATGCGGGACTCGATCCTAGGACCTGAGCCGAAGGTTGATGCTTAACTGACTGAGCCACCCAGGCGTCCCTCTAAGCTTGGCAATCTTTCACTCATCCTTTCTTTTATCAAATGAGGTGTTTATTTAAAAAAATATATATATTTATTTATTTGAGAGAGAGCAGGGTGGGGGAGTGGGCAGAGGGAAAGGGAAAGAGAATCTCAAGCAGACTCCCTGCTTAGCACAGAGCTTGGCATGGGGCTTGATCTCAAGACCCCGAGATAATAACTTGAGCCAAAATCAAGAGTCGGACACTTAACCAACTGAGCCACCCAGGTGCTCCTCAAATGAGGTGTTTATTATTCTGAGAACCACATTTGTAACAGCACTCCAGCGGGTCTTAAGGGTTAAGTGTGTAGATTATGAAGAGAGAGATGACTAAAAATCTACTGATTGGGAGATAATGAAGAATCAGCAAAAGTAAGTTAAAAAGAGAAAAATTATTAAGGGAGTTGAGACCTGGTAAGAGGAGTTTTAACCAAAATCTTAAACATGATTGTTCTCTTCAGAAGTTTGCTCATAACATTGGATCTGTGAAGATAAAGGTGTAAATAGAATGAGAATTACATAGGAATTGAGATAACAGAAAAAGAAAAAACACTCTTAAAAAGTTGAATTGTTAAAAAAAAGTTGTAAGGGTGTGAGTGAGAAGTGGTAGAAGCAGGAAATATACTGGATGGAATAGTGAAGTGTAATTGCTTCAGAGTGTCCAACATAGGGGCACGGGGGTGGCTCAGCTGGTTGGGAATCTACCTTCTGCTCAGGTTTGGATCCTGAGATCCTGGGATCCAGTCTGGAGGCAGGCTCCCTGCTCAGCGGGGAGCCTGCTTCTCCCTTTCCCTCTGTCGCTCCCACCCGCTCATGCTCTCTCTCAGATGAGCAAATAAAATCTTAAAAATAATTTTTAAAAAAGGGTGTCCAACATAAAATGTTTTTTTGTTTTGTTTTGTTTTTTTAAAGATTTTATTTATTTGAGAGAGAGAGAATGAGAGACAGAGAGCACGAGAGGGAAGAGGGTCAGAGGGAGAAGCAGACCCCCAGCTGAGCCGGGAGCCCGATGTGGGACTCAATCCCGGGACTCCAGGATCATGACCTGAGCCGAAGGCAGTCGTTTAACCAACTGAGCCACCCAGGCGCCCTGTTTTGTTTTTATTTAAGTAATCTTTACACCCAACATGGGGTTCGAACTCATGACTCCAAAGTCAAGAGTCGCATGCTCTCAACTGAGCCAGCCAGGTAACCCCAACATAAAGTTATTTTAAGAGATTCAAAGAGAGGGGCGCCTGGGTGGCTCAGTTAGTTAAGCGACTGCCTTTGGCTCAGGTCATGATCCCAGGGTCCTCGGATCAAGTCCCACATCGGGTTCCCCCTTCTCTGCAGGGAGCCTGCTTCTCCCTCTCCCTCTGCCTGCTGCTCCCCCTGCTTGTGCTCTTTCTCTCTGTCAAGTAAATAAATAAAATCCTAAAAAAAAAAAGATTCAAAGAGACTGAGTTGCAACGATACTTGTTAAGAGATTTGGTTAAACAATTTGTCTTTGCCAACTCCTTAGGACTTCTCTCTCAGGAGTTCCTTAAGACCATGGCAGCTTTGGAGGGAAATATTTTCTGAGTGATGTTGGACATAAACTTGTCCTTTATTTTCACAGAGGGCCAGAAGGATCTGTCTCAGCACTACCTGCTTCTCAAGTGGCTTCCAGGCCAGTAAGCTTTGCCCCAGTATTTTGAGGTGGGTGGAGCTAAGAACGATGTCCCTAAAGTGCACTGGATTTTGCTCTTTCCTCTACTGTGTCCTGTAACTCCTGCTAAATTCCTTTATTGCTATGAATAGACTGGACCAATAAAAAGGAAAAACAACTACAAAAAAAAAAAATTCATGGATATTGTTTTTCAGGCATTCTAGAAAGACGTATTATCCCAGAACATGCATTCATTTTGTTCTTCATTAACATTACGTGTTCTTACCTCATGGTCTACCAAGTGGCCCCAAAGTACTTCGGTACAGACACAAGTGGAGAACCCAACACATTCACAGCAACAGCCTTTCCCCTAGACTTTCCCATAAGCAGCATTCTTATCGTGGTGAGCAAAAGTCACATTCACCATTGTCATCCTGGTGAATATGTTTGTTGCTTTTTACTCTCTCCTGTTTTATCTTTTTGAATAACCCTCATTATGAACCCGCACCATGGTCTGATGACCTACACTGGTCTCTTCAGGATCCCTGACATTCATCCCTTTATGCTCTTTGGCAGTGACACCCAGGTCTCAGTTATACTTTGCCTGCTGGGCAACAAAAACAAATGCTCCAAGTGTAGTTCCTGTACTTATCTTTAGGACATCCCACCAGTTTTTCAAAAAACTTTATATATTTGTAGGCTCAGAGTTTATGTCGTTTAATATTCTGGAACATTTTGGCGCCTGGGTGGCTCAGTTGGTTAAGTGGCTGTCTCCAACTCAGGTCATGATCCCAGGGTTCTGGGATCGAGCCCCACATTGGGCTCCTTGCTCAACAGGAGCCGGCTTCTCCCTCTGCCTGCCCTCCCCCTGCTTGTGCTCTCTCGCTCTCTCTCTCACAAATAAGTAAAATCTTTAAAAAAATATTCTGGGATATTTTGATTCAAAGGTGAATAACAAAGATCATAGCTCTGCTCCATATTGCTTATAGTGTTCAAAACAGGAATGCTACTCATTCAAAAGTAATTTTCTAAAATTGTATAATGTTATTCACTAGAATTCAGGTAATTTTATGACATAACATTGGGAATATTCAGAATATAGGAGTTGAGAGTATAAAACTACTTCTGGGGGCGCCTGGGTGGCTCAGTCTTTAAGCGTCTGCCTTCGGCTCAGGTCATGATCCCAGGGTGCTGGGATCGAGCCCCACATCAGGCTCTCTGCTCTGCAGGAAGCCTGCTTCTGCCTCTCCCACTCCCCCTGCTTGTGTTCTCTGCTTGTGTTCCCTCTCTGGCTGTGTCTCTGTCAAATAAATAAATAAAATCTTTAAAAAATAAAAAATTAAAAAAATTAAAAATTAAAACTACTGGTTAGAAATTGATGCTGACACTTAAAAGATTCATTCTAATTACCAAAGCATAGTTGGAGGGGGGAGGGGAGGCTTCATTTGGAGAAAAAAAGACCTGAGAATATTATTCTGAGTTGGAAGGGCACATGTGGAATTCAAAGAAATGAAGGAAGATCAATGTATTTATAGTATAATGTATGATGAGGACAGTGGTGAGAAAAGAAGCATAGTGGGTGAGGCTTTTTCTACCAAGTATCAGAGGACACCTGAACTATCAGAATGATCATAACTTTTAGTAAGGGAGATGATGGGTTTGTGAGGGCTTAATCAGGTGGGATAAGTAGGGGTTTTTTTGTTTTAAGATTTTATTTATTTATTTGACAGAGAGCACAAGCAGGGGGAGTGTCAGGCAGAGGAAGAGGGAGAAGCAGCCTCTCTGCTGAGCAGGGAGCCCAATGCGGGGCTCAATCACAGGACCCTGGGATCATGACCTGAGCTGAAGGCAGACCCTTAACCGATTGAGCCACCCAGGTGCCCCTTAAATAGTATTGTTAATGATAAAAATTTAAGTATTTGAATAAATTTATTAAACTTTCCATTTTACCACTTTTTAAATTGGAAGGTTTTTGTTTGTTTTAAATCTTAATAAAAGCATTTATAGTATTTAGTGGGAAGCTTTTGGAAATTATGTGTTTTTTTTTTGTTTTTTAATTTATTTGAGACAGAGAGAATGAGAGACAGAGAGCATGAGAGGGAGGAGGGTCAGAGGGAGAAGCAGACTCCCTGCCGAGCAGGGAGCCCGATGCGGGACTCGATCCCAGGACTCCAGGATCATGACCTGAGCCGAAGGCAGTCGCTTAACCAACTGAGCCACCCAGGCGCCTGGAAATTATGTTTTTATCAAAGTCAGTTTTAGTAATTATTGTGAGCCATTGGCACCTGGATGATACTTTCAAAAAGTTGCTCTTTTTCCTCTTTATTACACGTCTTTAGTAAGTCATTTGCTGTTCATTGCCACTAAAACATTTATTAGTGTAATATTAGTATGTTGAAGTCCTAAGCCAGAATTAGGAGAAAGAGCATTCATAGAGGCAATTAAAGTTAAAGGAAGTCATAAGGGTGGGGCACTACTTCATTAGGACTGATTTCCTTCTAAGAAGAATAGAACATACCCTGTGAGTATGTTCATAGGGAAGAAAAGGCCCTGTGAGGGCACAAGAAGATGGCCATCCACAAGCCAAGGAGAGAGGCCTCAGGAGAAACCAAACCTGTTGACACCTTCGTCTTCAACTTCCAGCTTCCAGAACAGTGAGAAAATCAATTTCTGTTGTTTAAGCTACTTCAGTCCATAATATTTTGTTAGAGCTGTCCCAGTAGACTACCAAAATTGTCATTCAGTGTGTTCTCACCAAATAAATAAGCTGGACATCCAGAAAGATACAGTTAGGAGACACAATTGATACTATTCTAAAAAGGATACAAGGGCACCTAGCTGGCCTAGTCGGTGAAGCATGTGACTTTTGACCTCAGGATTGTGGATTCCAGTCTTACCTTGGGTGTAGAGATTACTTAAAAATAAAATCTTATTTAACAAGATTTATTTATTTACTTTAGAGAGAGAGCATGAGCAAGAGGGGCAGAGAAAGAGGGAGAATCCCCAGCAGACTCCACACTGAGGGTGGACCTCACAGTTACAAATTAGCTTTTTATAAAATTTAGAGGATTTAGTATAGAGCTTCCAATTTTACTTCCACTTCTGTTGATTTTTGCTTCCAATTGTCAAAATTACTGATGACACAGGTAATGGAGAAGTTTTCTGTGGGAACCAGAAACAAATCCTGTTTGTCCGCCCACTTCAGGGCAGCCTAACATGCTTTTTCTTGCTCTTCTGTTAAGGCCCCGTGTGGAGTCTTTTTTCTTCTTCCCGATAAACACATTAATACAAAACCGAGTAACGCCTCAGGCCATGTACATTTGAAGAACAATACCATAACGTCTCCAGCTATGTGTGAACTCTTTTATGTCTGCACGACACTGTGGAATGAGATGTCATTTAGATAGAGGATTTCGGGACATCTCAATACTTGTATCCTCATGGAGCTGGCCGAGCTTTAGAGTTGAAATAACGTCTGTAAGCCGCGTTTAACAACGACCAAAACCCCTCCCGCTTTGACGCAGGAGCGCCAGTAGCCTCCCCGGCTGCCGCCTGGACCATCCTCTGGTTGAACACTGTGAACACCCTTCGCAGCTACTACATTTCCCAGAAGACCCTGCGATGGGAGGGCGCAGTCGTGAGCCAATGAGGGGCCAACATGGGGGATTTCCGACCGTGCGCATCGCCTCGGGGCGGGACTTCCGCTCCTCATCGTCCTGGTCGTTTCTGCCTCGCGCTGGTTCTCTCACCCGGTCGGAGGTTCCGGAGCTCCGGGTGTGGGTTGTGGTGACGCGACCAGAGAACGGGCGGGAGGAGGCGCTGTCCCCGCCGCACAGACTTGGGTCCGCTGCTCAGCGACGCCGCCCGGGCTGCCCCGCGCCGGGACCGGGACGGGGACCGCCGGTCCGCTCCGCCCACAGAGTCCGATGGCGGCGGCCGCGCCCAGGGACCGGGCTCAGGTAAACGCTCGTCCCCCGGGCCCTCCCCGCCGTCCCCCCACCCAGACCCGAAGGCTCGAGCCGCGGCCGGGTGTCGGACAGGCAGGCGGCGGCGGGCGGGGGCCCCGTGCGGGAGCGGGCTCCGGGCCGAGGGCGGCCGGGGCCGAGGCTGGAGGGGGGCAGAGGCTGGAGGGGCGCTGGAGGGAGGCTGCAGGGGGCCTGAGGCGGGAGCATTCTGCCCTCGGGGGACAGCGCGTGAGGCGGAGTCGCGCCTGCACCGGCGGGCCGAGGTGCCGTACCTTCGTTCCTGGGGCCCTGGGGGGTCGGGTAGGGAAGAGGGACACAGTCAGTGTGAGGGTGTTAACAGCTTTCCAAAAGCTGTTCAAGAGAGTGAACAGGTTGGGATGGGGGTGATGAAGACGAGCAGGCACTGGTAGTTGAATTCTTGTCCAAGGTCATAGAGCTGGGAGGAGGAGCACTGAGGCTCAGAGGTTTGTCCGTTAACAGCTCACTCGGTTACCACCTTCTTCCCACAGTTTCTGGAGGCTGAAAAAGCGCTTCCGGCACCTACACAAGGAGGGAGAGGGTCTCCCAGTCCCTCGCTTGCGCTGGCACCGCCTCTCTGGTGGATGGGATTTCGGTAACCTGAAACCTTGACGTATTTTCCCAGCTGTTGGGTCTGGGACCTTCGAGATACACCAAGTTCAGGGTCCTGAGTGCAGGCCAGGGGTTACGTGGAGGTGTTCTCGGTTTTGTCAACCAGTGTAAACAGGTGTGGAAGGTTATCTCAGGAACAGTTACCAGTTTGTGTAAATGCTTGGAGGCGTGCCTGAGTTAGAAACGGAATAGCAGGTCTTCATTCTTTCTATTAAGAACAAAGAGCAGGAGATCAAGAATCAGGCCTGTAATGTGGGCTGCCTGAGAACTTGGGCATCTGTTAGGGACGTCATGGGAAGTTTGGATAGGAGGAGAGAGTTGGTGATACTCAGGCTTAACAGGCTCCATCTGGCTGCACAGTGGAGAACAGATTATGGGGTTAAGGGAGGAGACAGGGAGCCCAGGAGGAGGCAATTGCTACAATCTAGATGAGTGTTAATGGGTAGGAGTGGTGGCTGTGGAGGTAGAAGAAGGGGTTGGACTTTTGTCCATTTTTTAAGAAGGGCCACGTAGACTTTTGGATGTTGTAGGTGAGGGAGAGAAAGGAGGAGTCCGGGAGGATCTCAGGTTTTTTGGTCCTAGCAGCTGAAGCTATGGAAGGTCCATCAACTGGGATGGGAAAGTCGGTGGTAGGTTAATTTCCACTGAGAATTTTCTTAAGGTTTTTGGCCCTATTAAGAATTGGAGAAGTTTCAGAGAACTGAGTAAAAGCATCAAATAGGCCGCTGGACACACAGGTCTGGAATCTGGGGAAAGGTCCAGGATAGAGACATCCAAAAGTGATGGCTATTGTGTGGACCAAGGTGGAGATTTGGATCACATATAGGAGGGGTTGTGCAGGTTGTGGTGTTGTGGTGGTAATGCTGTTAGTGGGTTAGAAAGAAGAGGGTGCATGCCAAGGGAGAACTCTGATAGTAGAAGCCACATGGGAGAGAGGATGATCTGGCAGGTGGCCAAGACTTCCCTGGGATGAGTGGACATGAGAGGGCTATGTAGACAGAGTAGTAAGTGAATCAAGATGATAGTGAGGCCAGGCCTGTTGTTTATTCACTACTGTACAGATTCACCAGAATTTTGTGGTGAGCTTTTATGGCATCTGTGGTGTTTCAGTCTTGCTGGTGGATAAGGTCTGGGGAAATTTGTTCATTTGTGAGGGTCACTGTGCCTGGCACGGAGACCAATGGGGTTTTGATGTGCTTTTAATGAAGGTTAAGTGGAGAAAGGAGGGTTAGTGCTGCTGTGGGACAGGAAGGGAAGCACAGAAGTATCAGAGGGTCACGGGTATCTGAAATTTACTTGTGGTTCTGGGTGACAATATTGAAGCAAAGGCCACAGGTAGATGGGCAGGCCTTCAAAGCAGCATTTGGGGCTTTCTTTGTCAGTGGGATCCATCAAAGGACAGGGGCTGTACTAGATCATGTTTGAAATTTTCAAGCACTCTGGATGCCATGTGCCCAGTGCATGGGTGAGTCCAGGGACATGCCTGTGGTGTGGGGCACAGAGATGACAAAGCTTTGGGAATGCATTTGAGGGATCTGAAGATGTGAGAGAGGTTTGGTCTACTGAATGATATGCACACAGGGAGAGTAAGTATGAGCTGAGGGCCCTGGGGCCCTGGTATTGGGAACCTCAGGGTGAAGCATGAGCCCACGTGGCTATTTCTTGTATGTACAATCTGTGAGCTGTAGGGGAATTGCTTGGTAGGAGAGATGGGGCCCTGCAGACCAGGCCCAAAGCTTACATGACATTTATCTGCCCCCCTGCCTGTTGTTGCTGAGGGCTGAATATAGTGATGAATGGGATCATGAGGAGAGAACAGCCATCAGTGGCTCTAAGGCCTGGTACCTCCTCTGGGGTGGGGAGCTCCGGAAGAGGATAAATGTGGAGTAGATGTATGGGAGATGGAGTGTGGGTTTTCAGAGAATGTTCATGGTTTTATCCATCCCATTCTTGATAGGGTGGCGTGACCTTTGAGGATGTTGCTGTGTACTTCTCCCAGGAGGAATGGGGTCTCCTTAATGAGACTCAGAGATGCCTGTACCTGAATGTGATGCTGGAGAACTTTGCACTTATATCCTCACTGGGTAAGACCCTCCCCCTCCCCAGTGGTGTAAACTAGGTTTTGCATTACCCCATGCTCCTCTTTTCCCAGGGGGTGCTCTGTCCTTTTTAACATGTGGACCGTAAGTACTGCTTGCTTCAACAGTTTCTTGGGTAGTTGCTGTCTTTGGTAGGGCTGTGTTTCTGCACCTCCCTCTTTTCTCCCCAGAGGCCCAGTACTGTCTGTACTGAACCCTCAGAGGAAGAATTTGAGTTCAGTAGTCTTGCAGTGAGGCTGGTGGATGGCATCTTGTTTGTCCTCTCCCTGGCCAGGTCATCTCTCTAGGTCTGTGTTAGTTTTGTGTCCCTGGTTTTGTTTCCTTTTTTTATCTGACATTTCATTGTGCTTCCCTATGCTGGGAATTGCAGATATTATCATGGTCATTACCTACCTGGACCATGGACTGTTTTTTTAAGACTATCCTGTACTGTTGTGTGTATAGTGTTCTGATTTCTTTCCTTTTTTCTTTTTATCAGCTTTATTGAGATGTAATTGACAAATAATATTGTATATATTTATTTTTAAAGTATACAGTATTATGACTTGATATTGATATACATTATGAATGTATTACATTCATACATTCAAACAACTTAACATATCGATCACTTTACGTATTTACCTTTTTTGGGTGTGTAAAAACACTTAAGATCTATTCTCTTAGCAATTCAAGTATACAACTCAGCATTATTAACTGTAATCACTATGCTATACATTAGATTCACAGAACTTAATCAGCTTGTAACTGACCAGTATCTCCCTGTTTCCTGTAGTCCCCAGCCCCTGCCATTCTACTCTCTGTTTCTGTGGGTTGAACTTTTTTTTTGTACAAAAAAATATTTTAATACCTTTAAAATTCAAATTTTTCTTTAAAATCATTCAGGAAAAAGATTCTCAAGTCAGAATTAACAGCTCAATTAGTCAAGCATCAGGAAGCTGCAGTACAGCTATTTAATACACAAAGAGGCATCTCTTCCCCAGTCACTTCCTTCTAATGTCTCTGTTTCCAGAATTGTACAGACTCTCTCTTTTTTTTTTTTTTTTTTTAAGATCTTATTTATTTGACAGAGAGAGACACAGCGAGAGAGGGAACACAAGCAGAGGGAGTGGGAGAGGGAGAAGCAGACTTCCCGCCGAGCAGGGAGCCCGATGTGGGGCTCGATCCCAGGACCCTGGGATCATGACCTGAGCCGAAGGCAGACGCTTAACGACTGAGCCACCCAGGCGCCCCAGAATTGTACAGACTCTTTTGCTTCTCTCCACTCCCCATGCCACCGTTATCTTCAGATCATGAAAACTGAATCTGTTGAACACCAGAAATCTGTTGATATGACATTGTATAAACCATAACATTTTGTTGTTGACCCTCTGCAATTATTAAGCCAGCTGGTAACTGGTTAGTAAATGCCTCCTCTGTAAGTTCTTCACTTAGTCCATCTGTAGCTGTGACTGTTGCACCAATTCCTTTCTCTCCTTTCCTAGCCTCTCTGAATTTCTGAAGGTATAATTTTAGAGGTTCCACGTAACTGTCAGAGCATAAGGTCAGCATGGCAAAGAGAGTGTCTTCTCTCTTGATTGTCCTCCGTTTCTCTTGATGGCATTTTTCACTTGCTTCAGATGTTACAAAGCTGATGAACTCACACATTGTTGAACATAGTCTTTGACATCTTTTACAATCTTTCCCGTTTGAGGTATGGCATTTTTCATTATCCTTGCTACATTTGCAATTGGAAAATAGATATCTTGTTCTCTGAAACTTTCTTTTGAACCATTTGTGTCTTCATGATCATTCATGCCGTCCTCAGTATCACCACGAGGCTGTATCACATGGTGGCTTCCTCCCATGTAGTCCGCAGAGATGCCTAGTTGGAGCACTGTCGCCACCCGTGGTCATGAAGTACTGTCAGAACTGTGTTGTCAGTGGTGTTCAGGAACACCTTTCTAAAAAGGAGTCTAATCTTTGCCCAATTTCAACCTTGCAAGTCCAGGGACTGCAAGCCGCCAGATGGGTGCATTCTTTATGTGCAAGCCAGACTGCGGGGAAACCAAATCCACTCCTTCCTCCTGGGCACCTCGCTTCCTCCCCACGAAGGTGCTTGGGCTGGCCCTGGCCCTGGCCCCGCCGCCCGCGCCAGCCGGCTGTCAGTACCGCCAGTGCAGGGCAGCCACCCCTGGCACGCATGCCCTGACTCACCCACCCAGACCCTGGGCTGGCGCCCAACGCCTGCCGGCCACCCACCCACCTGGGGCACCAGGGCAGACGAAGCTGCCCTGCCACGCCCCCTCGAGCAGGCCGGTGGGCCGGAGAGCCGCGGGAGGGGGGCACCCCTGGGGACTCCGTGAGGCAGCCTGGCCAAGAGCGCAGGGTCGGGGACGCCAGGGACAGGGCCCGGGCCAGTGCCCCCATCCGGCTCCCCTCACAAAATGGAGCCGGCCTGGGCGCCGCCTCCAAGTGCCGGGAGCTCGGTGGTGGTGGCCTGGCCTGCATCCCACCGCTCCTTGGCACAGAGCACACAGAGCCTGCTCCCTCGCTGGGTCCGCAGTGGGAGCGGCCTTGCAGGTGCCATCTGGCCGGCCCCAGGTGTGTGGGAGGGAGGCGAGTGACCCTGGCCACGCTGGCGGTGGAGACAGCCTTTTTTTTTTTTTAATTCCACATAGAAGTGATACCATATGGTATTTTGTCTTGCTGACTTACTTCACTTTGCATTTTGTCCTCCAAGTTTATCCATGTTGTCATAAATGCATGATTTCCTTTTTTATAGCTGAATAATACTCCATTGTGTATATATACCAGGCTTTATTTATCATTCATCCATAGAAAGATACTTAGGTTGTTTTCATTCCTTGGCTATTGTGAATAATGCAGTAAACGGGGGTGCAAATATCTCTGCGACATACTGATTTCATTTCCTTTGGACATGTACAGAGAAGTAGAATTGTTGAACCATATTGTAGTTCATTTTTAATTTTTTTTAAGATTTTTAAATTATTTTTAAGTAATCTCTATAGCCTACATGGGGCTCAAACACAATCCAGAGATAAAGAGTCGCATGTTCTTTGGACTGAGCCAGCCACGCACCCCTATTTTTAATTTTTTAAAGATCTTCCATTCTGGGGGCGCCTGGGTGGCTCAGTTGGTTAAACCGCTGCCTTCAGCTCAGGTCATGATTCCAGAGTCCTGGGATCGAGCCCCGCATCAGGCTCCCTGCTCATGCAGGAAGCCTGATTCTCCCTCTGCCTGCCGTTCCCCCTGTTTGTGCTCTTTCTCTCTCTCTCTTTCTCTCTCTGTTAAATAAATAAATAAAAATCTTTTTTTTAAAGATTTTATTTATTTATTTATTTTAAAAGATTTTATTTATTTATATGAGAGAGAGAGAATGAGAGAGAGAGCACATGAGAGGGGGGAGGGTCAGAGGGAGAAGCAGACTCCCCGCCAAGCAGGGAGCCCGATGCGGGACTCAATCCCGGGACTCCAGGATCATGACCTGAGCCAAAGGCAGTCGATTAACCAACTGAGCCACCCAGGTGCCCCAAAAATAATCTTTTTTTTTTTTTTAAAGATTTTATTTATTTGAGAGAGAGAGAATGAGAAACAGAGAGAATGAGAGGGGGGAGGGTCAGAGGGAGAAGCAGACTCCCCGCCGAGCAGGGAGCCCTATGCGGGACTCGATCCCGGGACTCCAGGATCATGACCTGAGCCGAAGGCAGTCGCTTAACCAACTGAGCCACCCAGGTGCCCCTGTCTATACCAATTTAGCTTACCAACTGTATATAAGGGTTTCTTTTCTTCACATTCTTCACCAGCAGTTATCTCTTGCTTTTTGATAATAGCCATCCTAATAGGTGTGAGGTGATATTGTGATTTAGATTTGCATTTTTCTGGGGCGCCTCGGTGGCTCATTCGGTTAAGTGGTTAAGTATCTGCCTTTGGCTCAGGTCATGATCTCAGGGTCCTGGGATCGAGCCTGGCGTAGGGCTTCCTGCTCAGCGGGGGTGTCTGCTTTTCCCTCTCCCTCTGCCCCTCCCCCTGCTTGTGTTCTCTCTCTCTCTCAAGTAAATAAAATCTTTAAAAAAGTAGATTTGCATTTTTCTGATATTAGTGATGTTGAGCATCTTTTCACGTACATGTTCGCCATTTCTGTGTCTTTGGATAAATGTTTATTTAGGTCCTTTGCCTATTTTTAATTGCATTATTTGGTTTTGTTGTTATTGTTGAGGATGTTTTAAGATTTTGTTTACTTGACAGTGAGAGAAAACACAAGCGGGGGAGGGGCAGAGGGAGAAGCAGACTCCCCGCTGGGCAGGGAGCCGGAGGCGGGACTCGATTCCAGGACCCTGGGACCATGACCTGAGCTTAACGACTGAGCCACCCAGGCGCCCCTGTTGTTGAGTTTTATGAGTTCTTTATATATTCTGGATGTTAACCTCCTGTCAGATCTTTTGCAGATACTTTCTCCTATTCCTTAGGTTGCCTTTTCATTTTGTCGTCTCCTTGCCATGCAGAGGTTTTTGGTTTGATACAGTTCCACTGGTTTATTTTCGCTTTTGTTGCCTTTGCTGTTGGTGCCATATCCAAAAAATCATTGGCAACACCAGTGTCAAGGAGTTTTTTTCCCGTGTTTTCTTCTAAAAGTTTATAATTTCAGGGGCACCTGGGCGGCTCAGTTGGTTGGGCGTCTGCCTCTTGGTTTTGGCTCAGGTCGTGACCTTATGGGTTGTGGAATTGAGCCCTGTGTTGGGCTCCGTGCTTGGCAGGGAGTCTGAATTTTCTTTCCCTCTCCCCCTCCCCCCCCTCACTTCAGCATGTGCGTGCACTGCTGGCTCTCAAATAAATCTTAAAAAAATAATAAAAGTTTTATAGTTTCAGGCCTTATGTTTAAGTTCTTACTCCAATTCAAGTTAATTTTTGTGAGTGGTGTAAGATAAGGGTCCAGTTTCCTTTTTTCTTCTTTTTTTTATTGGTAGCACTAGGATTTATTAAGCTGTGTCTTAGTAAAGGCTCTGGGGCTTGCCCATGGTGCTCTTAATGTATAAAGCTCAGATGTTCTGCCAGTTCTTCTTGAGCCTTGACACCAGGAAATTGATAGTTAAGTGGATGTTGTGCACAAGCTCATCATCTGTCATCTTCATATGGCCAGTAGCCACTGCCAGACACAGGACCTTCTTCGTCTGGAGTTTGCTGGTGGACTTAACTTCATTCACTTTGGCCACCTGTTCTCATTATGAGTCAGCAAGGAAGGGAACTTGTCAGCCTTATGCAGGCCTCAGCCCAGGGTTTCTGGGATCTGCTTGATCCAAGATTCTGAAGGCAAAAATGCATCATATTTCTTGGCCAGCTTCTTGAATAGTTTTTTAAATTCTTGTTGAGTTTCTTCAGCGCCTCAGTGTCTATATGGAGAATATCCACAGCCTTGGCCTCATCACAGTGCTGCTGGTCCCCCAAAATACATATGGAAGACTTGGGGCGGGGAGTGGATGTATGCCCAGAATGTCCACACTCACCGGCAGCTGGTCTAGCTTCCCAAACTAGCTGGCGGGCTTGGCCAAGTTTTCCCCACACCTTCCCTCTTATTTTAAGACCCAGGGTGGAGGTCCCCTTTTTTTCTTTCTCCATGCGGATATCCAGTTTTCCCATCATTATTTATTGAAGAGACTGTCCTTTCCTCACTGTGTGTTTTTGGTGTCCTTGTCAAAGATTGGTTGACCATGTGTGCCTGGGTTTATTTCTGGGCTCTCTATTCTGTTCCATTGGTCTGTTTTTATGCTAGTACCATACTGTTTTGATTATTATAGCTTTGGAATATTTTGAAATCAAGAAGTGTGGTGTCTCCAGCTTTGTTCTTTTTCAAGATTGCTTTGGCTGTTTGGAGTTCTCTGTGGTTCCATACAAATTTTAGGACTGTTTTCTATTTCTGTGAAAAACGTCAGTGGAATTTTGTTATGGATTGCATTGAATCTGTAGATTGCGCTGGGCAGATTGCTGTGAGTAAAATGGACATTTTAACAATATTCTTCCAATCCAAGAACATTGGATATCTTTCCATCTCTCTTCACTTTCTTTCATCAGTTTCTTACAATTTTTAGGATATAGATCTTTCACCTCCTAGGTTAAATTTCTTTGAGTATTTTATTCTTTTTGATGTTATCTTAAGTGGGATTGTTTTCTCAATTTTTTTTCAGATAATTTATTATTGGTGTATATAAATGCAGCTTAGTTCTGTATATTAATTTTTTAAATCCTGCAACTTTACTGAATTCATTTATTTAATAGTGTTTTGGTAGATTCTTTTTTTTTTTTTTTAAGATGGAACATTGCTTGATAGATTTTTTTTTTTTTAAGATTTTATTTGTTTGCCAGAGACCGAGCATAAGCAGGGAGAATGGCAGGCAGAAGGAGAAGCAGGCTCCCTGCTGAGCAAGGAGCCCAGTGTGGGACTCCATCCCAGGACCCTGGAATCATGACTTGAGCTGAAGGCAGACACTTAACCATATGAATCACCCAGGCGTCCCAGTGTTTTGGTGGATTCTTTATAGTTTTCTATATGTAAGATTATGTCACCTGCAAACAGATAATTTTACTTCTTCCATTCTGATTTGAATGCCTTTTATTTATTTTTCTTCCTTAATTACTCAGGGCTAGGATTTCCATTGCTATGTTGAATAAAAGTGGAGAGAGTGGGCATCTTGTCTTGTTCCTGATGCCACAGGCTGGGGGCAAGGGTGGCAGGGAGAGGGAAACTTTTAGCTTTTGATCATTGAATATGATGTTAGCTGTGGGGCTGTCAGATATATTGAGGTTGTTTGCTTATATATCTAATTTGTTGGTGATTTTTTTATCATGAAGGCATATTGAATTTTGCCAGATGCTTTTTCTGCATCTATTGATATGGCTATATGATTTTTACCCTTTAAACTGTTATTCAGTTATGGTGGTGTATCATGTGTATTGATTTACACATGTTGAACTATCCTTGCATCTCAGGGATAAATCCTGATTGCTTGTAGTATATGATGCTTGTAATGTGCTTTGGGATTTGGTTTGCAAGGATTTTTTTTTTTTTTAAGAGTTTTGCATTTATGTTCATCAGGGATATTGGCCTGTAATTTTCTTCTCTTGCGTTGTCCTTAAATGCCTCTGATATCAGGGTAATGCTGGCCTTACAAAGTGAGTTTGTAAGTCTTCCCCCTTCAGTTGTTTGGAAGACTTTAAGAAGGATAGTGGGGATGCCTGTGCATCTCAGTCTGTTGAGCATCTGACTGTTGATTTCAGCTCAGGTCATGATCTCAGGGTGGTGAGATTCAGCTTGGCCTGGGGCTCCATGCTCAGTGAAGAGTCAGCTTGAGATTCTCTCTTTCCTTCTCCCTCTGCCCCTCCCCCTGCTCATGCTCTGGTCTGTCTCTCTTTAAAATAAATACATCTTTAAAAAAAAAAAAAAGGATGGTGTTAACTCTTTAAATATGTAGTCGGATTCCTTGTGATTCTGTCTGGTCCTGGGCTTTTCTTTGTGGGAGATTTTCTCCTTACCAGTTATGAGTCTATTCACATTTTCTGTTTCATTATTCAGTATTGTCAGGTTGTATGTTTCTTTCTTTCTTTTTTTTTTTTTTTTTTTAAGATTTTATTTATTTATTTGACAGAGAGAGAGACACAACGAGAGAGGGAACACAAGCAGGGGGGAGTGGGAGAGGGAGAAGCAGGCTTCCCGCCGAGCAGGGAGCCCAACATGGGGCTCATCCCAGGACCCTGGGACCATGGCCTGAGCCGAAGGCAGACGCTTAACGACTGAGCCACCCAGGCGCCTGCTTGCTTGCTTGCTTGCTTGCTTGCTTTTTTTGGTTTGGTAGTTTGTATGTTTCTGTGAATTTATCCATTCTAGGTTATCCAATTTGTTGGCATATAATTGTTCGTTGTAGTCTCTTGATAGCTTGTATCCCTGCAGTATCAATTGTGATGTTTCCTCTTTCATTTCTGAGGTTGAGTCCTTCTTTTTTTCTTAGTCTAACTAAAGGTTTGTCAATTCGTGTATCTTCTCAAAAACCCAACTCTTAGTTTCATGGATCTTTTTCTATTGTTTTTCTCATGTCTATTTCATTTGTTTCTGCTCTGGTCTTTCTTATTTGCTTCTTTCTGCTTTGACCTTATTTTGTTCTTTTTCTCATACGTTGAGGTATTAAGTTCTTTATTTGAGATTTTTCTTTTTTCTTAATGTAGACATTTATTGGTATAAACTTTCCTCTTATAACTTATTTTCTTGCATCCCGTTTTAATGTGTTACATTTCTATTTTCATTTGCCTACATAGATTTTTCAATTTCTTCTTTGACCCATTGTTTGTTCAGAAGAATGCTGTTTAGATTCCACATGTTTGTGATATTTTCCAGCTTTCCTTCTGTTAATGATTTCTAGTTTCGTGCCATGTACTTGGAAAAGATACTTGATATGATGTTAGTCTTCTTAAATGTTAAGAATTGTTTCATGGCGGGCGCCTGGGTGGCTCAGTTGGTTAAGCAACTGCCTTCGGCTCAGGTCATGATCCTGGAGTCCCGGGATCGAGTCCCGCATCGGGCTCCCTGCTCGGCAGGGAGTCTGCTTCTCCCTCTGACCCTCCTCCCTCTCATGCTCTCTGTCTCTCATTCTCTCTGTCTCAAATAAATAAATAAAATCTTTAAAAAAAAAAAGAATTGTTACATGGCGTGCCTGGGTGGCTCAGCTGGTTAAGCATCTGCCTTCAGCTCAGGTCATGATCCCAGAGTCCTGGGATCAAACCCCTGCTTGGCTGGGAGCCTGCTTCTCCCTCTGCCCCTCCCCCTGCCTGTGCTTTCTTTCCCTCTCTCTCTCAAATAAATAAATAAAGTCTTAATTTATCTGAGAGAGAGAGAGAGAGATCATGAGCAGGGGGGGAAGGATTGAGGGAGAAGCAGACTTCCCCAGTGAGCAGGGAGCCTGATGCAGGACTCGATTGCAGGACCCTGGGATCATGACCTGAGCTGAAGGCAGACACTTACGTGACTGAGTCACCCAGGCAGCCCAAATAAATAATTAAAAGCTTAAAAAGGGGGGGGGGCTGGCTGGGTGGCTCAGTCAGTTAAACATCTACCTTCGGCTTGGGTCATGATCCCGGAGTCCCAGGATTGAGTCCTGCATCGGGCTCCCCACTTAGCAGGGAGTCTGCTTCTCCCTCTGATCCTCTCTCCTCTCGTGCTCTCACTCTCTCTCAAATAAATGGATAGAATCTTAAAAAAAAAAAAAGTTTCATGACCTAACATGTGAGAGAGTCCTAGAGAATGTTCCATGTGTACTTGAGAAGAATGTATATTCTGCTGCAGTTGGATGGCATCCTCGGTATATGTCTGTTAGGTGCCTTTGGTATAAGTGCGGCTCAAATCCAACATCTCCTTATTGATTTTCTGTCTGGATAATCTGTCCATTGTTGATAATGGGTTATTGAAGTCTTCTACTGTTGTTGCATTGCTGTCTATTTCTGTTAGTATTTGCTTAATATATTTTGGTGCTTGGATATTGGGTACATATATACTTGTTATTGTTATAGCATCTTGATGAATTGACTTCTTTATCATTTTATAGAGACCTTTTTTGTCTCTTATGATAGTTTTTGACTTTAAAGTCTACTTTGTTTGACATAAGAATAGTTACTCTGTTCATTTTTGGTTTTCATTTGTATAGTCGTAATTGGGTCCAATAAAGTCATTGTGTACTTCACAAGTGTTTCTTTGTGTTCAGGTTGCTCCTGTCAAACAGAGGCTGCGGAGGTACCCTTTGAACAGAGCATTTCTGTAGGTGTGTCACAGGCCAGGACTCCAAAGGAACCTTGGTCTTCCCAGAAGACCCACCCCTGTGAGATGTGTGGTTCAGTCTTAAGAGAGATTTTCAACTTGGTTGGGCACCAGGGAAAACAAAACAGCCAGAAGCTGTTCAAGTATGGGGCATGTGTGAAACAGATTTATTCTAGTGCAAACCTTCAACAGCATGAGAAATGGCACATGGGAGAAAAACCCTTCAGAAGCAGTGTGGACAGGGCTTCATTTGTGAAGAGCAGCAATTTCCATGATTCAGGAAAGCCCTTAACCTGTGAGGTTGAGAAGGATTTCCTGGCCACCTCAGAACATCAACAACAGGCCACTCATACTGGGGAGAATAAAATCACTGAGTCTGGGATGACTTTTCAAAGCATAAAAAGTCATCGCACCTGGGAGGAATGCAAGAAAGCCGTTGGTCCCAAACACACACTTGTTCAGGACCAGGATGTCCACACTGGAAGACAGTGTTTTGTGTGCCCTGAATGTGGAAAAACATTCAGGTACAAGTCCTCACTTATGATTCATCAGAGAGTCCACAATGGTGACAGGCTTCATGTGTGTAGTGACTGTGGAAAATCCTTTAGGGGAAGCTCAACCCTCAGTCAGCATCGAAGAATTCATACTGGGCCAAGGCAGTACAAATGCAGCAAATGTGGGAAATCCTTTAGCCAAAAATTTGTCCTCATTCATCCTCAGAGAAGTCACACTGGAGAACATTGTTACGTGTGCCGTGTATGTGCTCAGTCTTTTAGCCAGAGCTCCATCCTTATTCAACAACGTACAGTTCACGCTGGAGAAATGAGTTACGAGTGCACTGAATGTGGGAAATCTTTTAGACGAAAATCTGATCTCATTGAACACTGGAGAGTACACACAGGAGAAAGGCCTTATGAATGTAGTGAATGTGGGAAATCTTTTACTTCTAGCTCTGCACTCCGTTATCATCAGAGAATTCACACTGGAGAAAAACCTTATAAATGTAGTGAATGTGGGAAGTCTTTTACCTCTAGCTCTGGCCTCCGTTATCATCAGAGAATTCACACAGGAGAAAGACCATATGAGTGTAATGATTGTGGGAAATCTTTTACCCAAATAAATCATCTTATTATACACCGAAGAGTTCACACAGGAGAAAGGCCTTATGAATGCAGTGAATGTGGGAAATCTTTTAGCCACAAATCTTACCTCTCTCAACACCAGAGAGTTCACACAGGAGAAAGGCCTTATGAATGTAGTGAATGTGGAAAATCTTTTACCTCTGGCTCTGCCCTCTGTTATCATCAGAGAGTTCACACTGGAGAAAAACCTTATGAGTGTAGCGAATGTGGGAAATCTTTTACCAATGGACCGATACTTATTCGACACCGTAGAGTTCACACAGGAGAAAGGCCTTATGAGTGCAGTGAGTGTGGGAAATCATTTACCCAAAGAAATCACCTCAATATACACCAGAGAGTTCACACAGGAGAAAGGCCTTATGAGTGCAATGAATGTGGAAAATCATTCACGTCTGGCTCTGCTCTCCGTTATCATCAGAAAGTTCACATTGGAGAAAGGCCTTACGAGTGCAGAGAATGTGAGAAGTCTTTTACCTCTACCTCCGCCCTCCGTTGTCATCAGAGAGTTCACACAGGAGAAAGGCCTTTTGACTGCAGTGAATGTGGGAAATCTTTTAGGGATAGTTCCCAGTTGAATCAACACCAGAGAGTTCACACTGGAGAAAAGCCTTATGAATGTAGTGATTGTGGGAGATCCTTTAGTCAGAATTCATACCTCTCTAAACACCGGAGAGTTCACACTGGAGAAAGGCCTTACGAGTGCAGTGAATGTGGGAAATCTTTTACTTCTGTCTCTGCCCTTGGTTATCATCAGAGAGTTCACACTGGAGAAAGGCCTTATGAGTGTAGTGAGTGTGGGAAATCTTTTACCAATAGCTCCATACTGATTCGACATCGCAGAGTTCACACAGGTGAAAGGCCGCATGAGTGCAGCGAATGTGGGAAATCCTTTACCCAAAGAATTCACCTCATTATTCACCGGAGAGTTCACACAGGAGAAAGGCCTTTTGAGTGCAGTGAGTGTGGGAAATCTTTTACCTCTCGTTCTACGCTACATTATCATCAGAGAGTTCACACAGGAGAGAGGCCTTACGACTGCAGTGAATGTGGGAAATCTTTTAGCCGAAAATCTAATCTTTCTCAGCATCGGAGAGTTCACACTGGAGAAAGGCCTTAGGTGGGTAGAAAATGTAGTTTCCTTGTTCAATGTAATGACACCAGAGGAAACTCTTTGTGAGGCACCATTTGTCTGAATTCAATATACCACATCCAAATGCCAATAGTAGAATGATTTCCCTTAAGCTTCAGTTATGTGGAAGCATGTGTGGCTATGTTGCATTTTCTAAACTGCCCAGGGCTCTTTCCAGATTTATGTCACTGCCAGTCTATGGCCAGAGCTTTGTATTTCTACCACCTGGCAAGTCTCCACAACATGCTTCAGTCATCACCCCACTGTGCTCAGGGAAGCTGACTTCTATTCTCATTTGTTGGAGGAAATTAGGAGTAACCTGAGTCCTTAGGGGGACCCAAATTTACTTTTTTCTGACTAATTGGCATGGACCTGACCCATGTAGTCCTAAAGAACATACGAGTTCAGCTGACAGAGAAGGACCACCATTTGCAGGGACATGGTCTCTGGAGATATTTGTGATTAATTTTTCCAGCTTCCAAGTCACTAACTCAACAACTGCTAGCTCCTACTGGTTTGGTTTGAATAATAACAAGTCCTTATTGTTTAAGTCCTCTTTAATCTTGGGTGTTCTATTTACCATGTATGGTGCTTTATAAATATTTTGAGGTCTACAAGCATGAAGGGGTGAACAACATTCATTGGGGTGGGTCTCCAACTTTCTGTGCCTCGAGGGGACAGTACAGTGGCAGAAAGTAGCTTACCAGTTTTTGCCAAATTTGTACTGCCCATGGCCTCCTAGGAAAGACTGCAGGGTTTTCTGGTCCTCATTTGAGACTGGATGCTATGAGGTTGAGGAGTCTCAGAGGTCACCCCGAGGAGGATCAGGTGTGAGAACCTCAGGTGCTTCTGGGAGCAGCATGAATTCTTTCCCTTGTTCACAGAGGATATCATGGGGGATGTCAGCACTGTTGAGGGGAACCCCTTCCCCAGGTCCGGCAAAGAGCCATATGCCCTGATGTCCACATATCTGTAGGTGATGGTCATTGGTTGTAAGGCCATAAGGTTCAGGGGAAACCACAACTGCTACAGAAACATTGGCTTCATAGGGAGTGGAGGAGACCACAGCCAACCAGATGGAATGTGCCTCTTCTAAAAGTGCACCCACAAATGATTCTGCAACAGGGGCTGTGGAGCGGGTGTGTACACCAATCTGTGGACTTCCAGGTATGGTTATCTTTTATAGTTTATGTCACTGTCATTGCAAATAATGGAAAGGTTTTTTTGGATTCCTGTATCCTCTCAGTGATGTTCACCTCAAGACCATTGCTGCACGGGCAGGAAAACAGATGGAGAAAAGGGGGATCTGAAGTCCAGGGATGTGGCTTTTGTGACCCAGCCAGCAGTCCTTTTGACTCTGGCGGAAAGTCCTTCACTGATCACTATCTTTGCTTTCACTGAGCAAAACTGGCCTCCATAGGGCGAGAATGTGTGGTGAATGTAGGGTTGCAAAACCTATTTTCCAAAAAGAGTTGGACAGAGGTTTCTTATTTTGAATCATTTTGAAAAGCTTTATTAAGTTATAATTTACATGTAATAAACTGTATATACTGGAAATGTAGTCTTCTGTAAGTTTTGATGTACTTATGAACCTGGAACATCATAGTCATGATAGTGATCATATGTGTCACTGCATATTTACCTCATGTCCTTTAATAATTTCTCTACCTGCCTTCCCAGCCCTCCAAGTCACTATTGATTTACTTTCCGTTATAATAGAAAACTGTATTTTCTATAATTTATATAGTAGGAGTCAAAGGTTTTTTTCCTCCTACTTTTATGTTGCATAAATAATTGTAGATGCATCAGTGGTATAGAAGTAGCTCGTTTTTTGTTCCTGTTTTTTGGCTGAGAAATATTCTTATCTTTGATAGCACTATTAGTTTACTCATTAATTTGTTTATGGACATGTGGGTATTTCTAATTTTCACCTATGGAAAATAAAGTTGGTTCAAACATTTGTGTAATTATATGGATATGTGTTTCACTTACCTTTTGTCAATAACTCAGAGTGGAAAGTCTGATTCGTAGGGTAGATAAATGTTTTAACTTAAAGAAATTAGCAAATTGTGATCTAAATTATTATATCTTTTTGTATTCTTACCAGCAGTGTATGAGAGTTGCATTTCCTCCACATCCTAGTGAATGGTTTAGTTTGGTCAGTTGTTCTTAATTTTAACTCTTTTTAAAAAACTGTGTAGTGCTGTCTTAGTGTTTTAACTGCATTTCCCTAAGGAGTCACAATGAGCATTTTTTTCAGATGTGCATTTGCTATCTATATTTTTGCTAAAATGTCTGTTCATATCTTCTGCCTATTCTGTGAATTTTGATTATTCTCCTTTTACAAAAGGATGTGAAACAACAAAGATATATGTTGGAATTTCACTCATTTTGTGGCTTCTTTTCCTTATGGAATCATTTTTAATACTGGAAGTGTATGTTTTCATTGTTTTCAGTTTTTTTTATGCTATGCATAATGTAATGGACACATACACACTTTTAATCTACATTATTGATGTCTTCTTTGCTTTCTAAAGTCTAGACATTTAATAATACAATAAATCCTTGCTTTGTAGTGTTCACCCATTTTCCTGGCCTATCATTATGGAGGTTGGTGGGTTGAAGCAGGGCTCTGGGGGCACCAGATAGACTCAGGATGGAGAAGGTGTTTTTTGATTCCCAAAGCCCAACAGAGAGGAAAAATAAGGCACTAATCAGGATCTCCAAGCCCTGGGTCCAGGCAGCCTGCGCTGGAATCCCAGATCCCCAGGACATGCAGGGAAACCACCCACCCTCTGTGGGCCTCAGGTTCCTCCTGTGTAAAAGGGTTGTAAGGTGCAGGCTGCTCCATAGTGTTTGGAAGAGATTAAGAGCTGAGGTACCCATTCACTCTGCAGTGGCTGCACCTGTGGCCTCTCTAGGCCTGGGCAACTCCAGCCTCTGCTAGCAACAACATCCTTGGGCCAAGCAATTTTGTTTCCCCAATGCCCTAAAGGCTCTCTACCCCTGGGTGTGTTTGAGAAAGAAATGGGGCTTCTTAGAACCTGCTGACCCACCTGTGGGGGAGGTGGGGCTTCTCCACCTCAGAATCTGGGCAACTTGCCATTGCTCCTTATGCCTCAGCTCCCTGACTGATATGGAGGTGATGATGGTGCTTACCTTGGCCCCTGTGAGGATTACTAAGACTCACACCCTGAGCACTTACCAGTGTCAGGACTCCAGGGTTTGCGTTGTGAGCATCTTTTCTAATTCTCACAGCAACCTGAGGAGGTGGGAATGGGAATGATTATTTTATTTCTAGGGAAGTCCAGGGTCAGAAAGATGCAGTTGGTTCCCCAAGGTGTCATATAAGAGACAAGCATTGGATTCCAGAAACTGCATTCAAACCTGAATGACTAGCTCCAGACCTGGGTATGTTTAATCCCTTTAGCACAGCTCCTGAAGCCCTCAGCCCAGGGGAGGGTATAGCAAGGACAAAGGAGGTACTGTCGCTGCTATTCTCATTGGAATTACCATCATGACCATTTTCCTACTTGCCCTCTGCCCCCACAGTCCTCATGGAAAGCCATTTTCGTCTCCAGTGCCTCCCCTTTTCTCTCAGCCACAGTAGCATTATGTACAAGGGCTGCATCAGCCTCCTTGTGCCCAGCACAGAGCTGGAACCTGAAGAAGCCTGGGTGATTCAGAGTTGGATCTCTGCATCTTCATTAGCAATGGAGTGACAGCCAACCCGAAGGTCAATATGATGCCTTAGTTTTACTTTTTCAGGTGTTTATGACTTCAGCTCTGGTCGGCTGCACACAGCCCAGAGGATCCAGTACCTGGATGTGTGCCAGAGACCTTTGGGCTCCTGGTCTTGCTAGGTAAGGGCTCACCTCTCCAAGTGGCATCTCTCTCCCTGCTCCATTTTTTTTCCCATAGGAGGCAGCACCGAGCTCTGGAAAGAGCCAGGTCGGAAGTCAAATATGCCAGGTCCCAGTGCAGCCTCTCTTTCCATAGCTGTGTGACCTTGACACACACACACCGGTCCGATGAAGGACTGGGCAGCTGCTTCTGAGGTTCCACTGTCAGTTATTCACTTGCCCCTTGGAGCCTGCAATGCCAACATCAGAGTTAGAGGCCAAGGTTGTATCAATTGAGAGGACCATATGGTTCCTCTCTCTCCTCTTATTAATCTGTTCTGTCACATTGGTTTGCGAATGTTGAGCCACCCTTGCATCCAGGGGATAAATCCCAGTTGGTCGTGGTGGATGATCCTTTTAATGTATTGTTGGATCTTATTAGCTAGGATTTTGTTCATCAGGTTTATTGGTCTGAAATTCTTTTTTTTTTTTTTTTTTTTTTTTTTTTTTTTAAAGATTTTTATTTATTTATTTGAGACAGAATGAGAGAGAGAGAGAGCACATGAGAGGGGGGAGGGTCAGGGGGAGAAGCAGGCTCCCCGCCGAGCAGGGAGCCCGATGCGGGACTCGATCCAGGGACTCCAGGATCATGACCTGAGCCGAAGGCAGTCGCTTAACCAACTGAGCCACCCAGGCACCCTGAAATTCTTTTTGATGGGGTCTTTGCCTGGTTTGGGGATTAAGGTAATGCTGGCCTCATAGAATGAGTCTGGAAGCTTTCCTTCTGTTTCTATTTTTTGAAAAAGCTTCAGGAAAATAGGTATTATTTCTTGAATATTTGGTAGAATTCCCCAGGGAATCCATCAGGCTCTGGACCCATGAGGGGAAGCTGAAACAGCATTTTGGTTTTCTTTGTTTTTAAGATTTTATTTATTTGAAAGAGAGAGTGAACAAGAGAGAGAGAGCGTGCACAAACAGAACAGTAGGCTCCCTGCTGAACAAGTAGCCGATGTTGGACTCGATCCCAGGACTCTGGGATCATGACCTTAGACAAAGGCAGACGCTTAACTGACTGAGCCACCCAGGCGTCCCAGAAACAGCATTCTGATTAGGCTTCCTGAACTGTCCTTTGGTTTTACAGCAGTAGGCTGTATGGAGTGCCCATGTGAAAGGGGTCCCTTAACCACAGCAATTGCCATGACCTGGGTAACAGGCATATTCAGTGTGTGAGTACCCCAGTCATAGAGTCAGGCCCACATGGCTTGCATACCAAGCATATCAGCTGCTTCATCTGGGTTGCTCCATTTGGCATTTGTAGGGGGAAACAGACCCCTTCTCAGGATTAACACACCTTTCAGTAACTTTTATTCCGGTCTACCAGTTGGCTTTCCCCTAAGGACTACCTTCTGTGTGTCTCAATCACATACAGCCATCTGTGATTATTTCAGTGAGCCATGGATCACGTATCAACATAAACATCTCTTCCATTCTGCAGCATTTAAAGCCAAAGACATAGCCCCCAAATTATTTACTCTCATAATACATTTCAGTAAAGGTTCTGGTAATACCAATCTATAAAGTGAAAGAACTTCATATTACGCCCCCTCATTTCAAGTTTCTTGGTTTGCCCCTCAACCATGATGACGAACATCTTGGTGACCAGAGATCTTAGAATTACTTTATCCCTGCACAGTTTATTCCTTGGGAGACTGGTTTGAGGCCTGTGGGCAGAGCTCAGACTCACTGAAATATGAGCTTGGTCTAGCAACGAAGTTTGACCCAGCATTCTCCTTTTAGTTTAGTTGTGAATATTTAGCCTGTTTCTCATTGGTTTGCACTTATGCATCCAGTGAACCAACTCCCCAGGAGTTGGATCCATCTCTGAATTCTATTGGTAAGTTTTATCTTTAGTAACCGATTACAGCACAGCTACTGCTCCACATCACGGTCACCACCACGGTCATCACCATGAAATCAAAGGTTATTTATCTACAACTCTCTCCTCCTTTCTCTTCCCAAACCACATGTTTCCATGAGCAAGCACTGGTCTAGCAAATCCCACTTCATGACACCAACTACATTCTGCACCAATAGTTCCAACGAAAGAGGGTGTTCCCACACCAACCCTGAAATAATATAAAAAATATATATGCATACATGCATACATATATACACATATACATAAATACGTGTGTTATATATGTACGTGTGTGTGTGTGTGTGTGTATTTCAGGTATGAATGAGGTGGTAGTATTAGAGGAAGTCATCAGGAAGACATGACCACTGGTTGATGCAAGAGATGGACCTGGGCAATCAGAGGCTTCTTAACCCTTACCCTGTCCTTGGAATGTCCATTTTGCTTGCCTTCCCTGCACTAGAAGCTGCCCAAGGACACAGCCTTGAGATAGTAAGGTGCTGTTGATACCATCTGGATGGTTTATGCAACTGAACCCAGTTAAGGCTTCTATATAAACTTCAAGATTCTGGCGGGCAGTGGCAGAGATCTATTCATCTTTCAGTCACCCAAGATAAGCTTCACATGTTAAGTTCTCATGCTTAAACCTGCCACCTATCAATGTGGAGTGGTCTACCTCTGTCCTCCGTGTATGGGGGCCAGTTTCAGATCATATCTAGGAAGCTCCCCAAATTACGAACTAAAAGGTAGAAGAAGTGTACGGGTTGGAAGAGTGAAAGTGTAATTGTTTTAATGTGTCCAATTTTATTTGGTTTATAAAGATTATTTTTTATAAAGATTTATAAAGATACTTTTTATAAAGATATTTTATAAAACAGACTCAAAGAGACTGAGTAGCAATGATGGGGAGATTATTGTCAAGAGATTTGGTTAAACAATTTGTCTTTGCCAACTCCTTAGCCCTTCTCTCTAAGGAGTTCCTTAAGACCATGACAGCTTTGGAAGGAAATATTTTCTAGGTGATGTTGGACATAAACTTGTCCTTTATTTTCACAGAGGGCCAGAAGGATCTGTCTCAGCACTACCTGCTCTCAGATGGCTTCCAGGACAGTAAGCTTTGCCCCAGTATTTTGAGTTGGGTGGAGCTAAGAATGATGTCCCCAAAGTGCACTGGGTTTTGCTGTTTCCTCTGCTGGGTCCTGTAAATCCTGCTAAATTCCTTTATTGCTATGAATGAACTAGACCAAGAAAGAGGAAAAACAACTACACAAAAATATTCATAGATACTGACTTTCAGACATTCCAGAAAAATGTACTGTTCCAGTATACACATTCATATTGGTCTTCATTAACACACGTGCCAACTTCGTGGCCTGCCAAGTGGCTCCATGATTTCTGACCTGCAGTGGCACAGGCAGCAAGGCCATCAAATTCCCAGCAACCACCTTTCCCTAGACCTTCCCATGAGGCCAGAGCCCTGAGCACAATTCTCATCGTGGTGGATGTTTATCTCCTTTTACTCTGTCTTCTACTTTATATTTTTATATAACCCTGATTGTAAAGCCACACCATGGTCTGATGAACACCTCTGCACTGGTGTCTTCAGGCTCCCTGACATTCCGTCCCTTCATGCTTTAGCAGTGACGCCCAGGTCTCCGTTTTGTTTTGCCTGCTGGGCAAAAAAACAAATGTTCCAAATGTCGTTTGTGGGCTATAAGTCCCCTGTAGAACATCCTATCATTTATTTAGTCAAATTTATATATTTGCAGGCTCTCATTTTATACCATTTAATCTTCCAGGACATTTTGACTCAAAATTGAATAATAATGATAGTAACTCTGCTTCGGATTGCTTATAGTGTATGGAAAACATGAACATCCTTGATAATTTTATTTATTTTAGAGAGAGAGAGTAGCGGCAGGAAGGGACAGAGGGAGAGAGAATTTTTTTTTTTTTTTTTAAGATTTTATTTACTTGACAGACACAGCGAGAGAGGGAACACAAGCAGGGGGTGTGGGAGTGGGAGAGGGAGATGCAGGCTTCCTGCCAAGCAGGAAGTCCGATGCGGGGCTCGATCCCAGGACCCTGAGACCATGACCTGAGCCGAAGGCAGACACTTAACGACTGAGCCACCCAGGCACCCCGATCAGAACTTTTCTTAGGCCAGATGATGTGTCTATGAGGGTTTAATCAGGCTGGATAAATAATCAGCATTATTCATGATGCAAAATACTAAGCCTCAATGGAAATAAATGCATTTTATTTTATTAAACTCTACATTTAATAAATGTAGAACCGCCAAACTAAATCCCTCCTTTTTTTTTTTTTTTTTTTTTTTTACAGAGACACAGCGAGAAAGGGAACACAAGCAGGGGGAGTGGGAGAGGGAGAAGCAGGCCTCCCGCTGAGCAGGGAGCCCAATGCGGGACTCGATCCCAGGACCCCAGGACCACGACCCAAGCCGAAGGCAGACGCCCAACGACTGAGCCACCCAGGCGCCCCAATCCCTCCAATTTTTAAAAAAGCGGATTTAGGGGTGCCTGGGTGGCTCAGTTGGTTAAGCGGCTGCCTTTGGCTCAAGTCATGATCCCAGGGTCCTGGGATCGAGCCCTGCATCGGGTTCCCTGGTCAGCGGAGAGCCTGCTTCTCCCTTTCCCTCTGCCTGCCGCTCTGCCTACTTGTGCTCTCTGTCAAATAAATAAAGAAATAATATCTTTAAAAAAGAAAAAGCTGATTTATACTTTTGTAGCATTTTTAGAATTGTATCAATTGTGTCCCCTTAACTCTATATTTTGAGCCTTGTTATTTATGTATTTGGTGAAGAGAGCACATTAAATGAGAGCTGTGTTAGCACCACCACCATAACAACATAACAAACTACCATAGATTGGTTCGCTTAAATAACAGAAATTTACTTTCTCACAGTTCTATATGCTGGAAGTTGAAGACGAAGGTGTCAACAGCTTTGGTGATACATGGTCTGTCTCCTTGGCTTGTGGATAGCCACCTTCTAGCTGTGTCCTCACATGGCCTTTTCCTCCTGGTGTTGGTGTCTATTCCTCTTAAAAGGAAGCCAGTTCTAATAGAGTAGGACCCCACCCTAATGACCTCATTTAATTACCTCTTTAAAAGCCCTAGCTCTTTAAAAAGTCACTTGGGGGTTAGGGCTTCAACATACCACTGTTTCAGTGGTAATAAAAGGCAAAGGAGTTACTTAAGTTACATGATAAATACACAAAGACCATTCAGCTATTTGAAAGTATCTTCCAAATGCCAGTGGCTCACAATAGCTTCTAAAAGTGACAAAGAAACATAATTTCCAAAAGGTGCATTCAGTGATATCTATAGTATTTAACTGTAAATGCATTATTTCCAAGTACTTAAAACAAAAAAATTTGTATTAAAAGGTGCTAAAATGTGTCCGTTTTCTCAATAGAATTGAGTGTATTGGGTTTTGGAATATAGGGGAGGTTCAGTGGGGTAAGGTCTGGAGCGATGACCAAGAAAGAATTCTTGAGATGTCTTTGGTGCAAAATGGTGGTTTTATTAAAGCGTGGGGGCCGAAAGAGCTGCTGCACCGGGGTTGGTAGGGGTGGCTGGTTATATACTATGGGGTTGGGAGAGGTAAGGAAGAGGGAGGTTTCAAAGGATTTTCATGTTCAAGGAGACTCACGGGAAAGATGTTAGGCTGCCCTTAAGAGGCCTTGCCATTGTCAAGTTAGGGTTGTTTTTCCCTCTAGCAAGGTATTAACATTAAGATAGTTGGGAGCTTCCTGGAGGAACAGTATATTCTGCCCCGTTCAAGTATCTGTCAATGGGCTCCAGGTTATAAGGACATTTAATTGTATCTACATTTCCTTCTCAAGCTAGGCCATTGATAGAAATGTAAATTGCTAAGACTTTTGTTAACTGAGGGAGACTCACGTCTTGGAGGATTGTGATCTCTGTAAGTTAACTATTTGTTTTTCCTTTCCTTTGTTTTAGGGCAGCCAGGAGTGCCTGAGGAAATGCCCTATATATCCCATGGTGGGGTCTTCAGCTTGCCTTCTGTTCCCTCAAGTGTATCTTAGAACATTGAGTAAGAAATACTATATAGATAAAAATGGGTAGGACACAATCACTAACCCTACAGGTAAGGCACAGATTTTCTGTGGGAGCCAGAGGCAGAGATCCTGCTTGTTCGCGGGCTTAAGGCGGCCTAACATCTTTCTTCTTTATTCCCAGTCAAGGCCCTGTATAAAGTTTTTCCCCTGCCCCGAGCCAATCATAAGAGAGGTCACAACATTGACAAATGCATCAGGTTACATGCATTTCATAGTAATAACAAAATGCCTTCAGCTGTGCGTGGACTATTTTATGTCTGAATGACTCTGTGTAATAATATGGCCATTTAGATCCGTGGATTTCGGGGCATCTCAGTAACAGTATTATCCTCTGGGAGCTGGCTGACTTTTACCGAGTATGGAATTATGCCTCTTCACTGCAGTTCACAAAGAGCAAATCCTCTCGCCCGTTGCCTCGGCTTCCAGCATCCCTCGAGGAGCCGCATGGCCAGTAGTCTGATTGGTCAGGCTGGAGAAAAACCCTTGCCTCGCGCACTAGAGCGTTGCCAACTACAATGCCCAGAAAGTCGTGCGCGGAGTTGAGCCAATGGAAGCATTTCCGCGGGAATACATCGCGTAGGGGTGGGACTTCCGGCCTCCTCCTTGTGGCGGCCATTTTGCTGTTCTCGGGCGTGCCGGGGCGGGACTGAAGTGACGGAACTGTCAAGGCGCAGAAGTCGTTGCCCCACGGCAGAGAGGCGGGTCCGCGGCTGGCGACGCCGCCCGGGCTGCCCCGCGTCGGGGCCGGGACGGGGACCACCGGCCCGGGTGTTTGCCCCACCCACAGAGTCCGATGGCGGCGGCCGCGCCCAGGAACCCGGCTCAGGTAAACGCTCGTCCCCGGGCCCTCCCGTCGTCCCCCCGACCCAGACCCGAAAGGCCCGAGCGCGGGGCGCCGGCTCACGTCCCTGCGCCCAGGCCCCGGCGTCCGGGACAGGGAGGCGGCGGCGGGCGGGGGCCCCGTGCGGGAGCGGGCTCCGGGCCGAGGGCGGCCGGGGCCGAGGCTGGAGCGGGGCTGAGGCGGGAGGATTCTGCCCTCGGGGGACAGAGAGCGTGAGGCGGAGTCGCGCCTGGACTGCGGGCCGAGGTGCCGTACCTTCGTTCCTGGGGCCCTGGAGGATCGTGAACAGAAGAGAGACACAGTGTTAGGGTGTTAACAGCTTTCCAAAAGCTGCTCAAGGAGGAAAGGTTGGAATGAGGGTGATGAAGACAAGCGAGCCCCGGGAGTGGAGTTCTTGTCGGAGGTCACTGAGCTGCTGGGAGAAGTAACTGCGGACTGAAGCATAGAGTTTAGTTAGCCTGAGGTCACTCAGGGGAGGCCTGATCTCGTGGAGCCCAACCCTGGTTTCCTCAACCACAAGTTCTGACGGTTGTGAAAGCACTTAGAGAACCTATACAAGTAAGGAGAGGTTGCCTCAGTCCCTTACTGGTCTTGACAGCGCCAGTATGGTGTCCAGGATTGTGGTGTGTTGAGGCTCTTCCCTTGCTGTTTTTCCAGCTGCTGGGTGTGGGCATCCCAAGAATACCCCAAGCCCGGGGTCCTGAGTGCAGGCCAAGGGTTACATGCAGGTGTTCTTGTTGCTGTCAGCCAGTATAAACAGGTGTGAGACGTTATCCCAGAAATAAATACCAAAGTGTGCAAACGCTTGAACCTGTTTTCATTCTCCCTGCGAGGAACAAAGAGCTGAGTGAGGGTCAAGAATCAGGCCTCTAATGTGGCTATTGAGAATTTGGGCATCTGTTATGTAGGTAATGAGAGGTTTGGATAAGGGGGCTGGTGGTCTTACCTAAGTCTTAATAGGTCCATCTGGTTGCAGAAAAGATAACAGACTATGGGGGTAAAGGAGGAGGCAGGAGTCCAGGAGGAGGCAGCTGCTATAATCCAGATTGATGGACCAGAGTGGTGGCCATAGAGGTGGGTGAAAAGTTGGACTCTCTGTCCATTTTTTGAAGAGGGGTGGATTTTTTGATGTTGTAGTTGAGGGAGAGAAAGGGAGGAGTCCAGGATGACCCCAGGGTTTTTGGTCCTCGAAGCTGAAGGGATGGAAGTGCCATCATGTGGGATGGGGTAATTGATGATAGGTTAATTTTCTTGGAGACTATGAGGAGTTTTGTTTGGTCCTGTTAAGCGTCTCAGATGTTTCAGAGAATTGTGAGTGGAGACAGCAAATGGGTATCTGGATTCACAGGTCTGGGTATCTTGGGAGGAGGTTTTGGATGAAGAAATCCAAAAGTGGTGACTATTGTGTCGACCAGGGCGGAGCTGTGGATTGCATTTAGATTGGGGAATGCAGGTCATCATGACAATGCCTTAGCTGGTCAGATAGAGGAGGGTGCATGATGAGGAATGATTGTCTTGCTGGGCACCTGATCAGTGTTGCTGGGCACACGAATGCAGGTGAAGGAGGGAAGTGATCAAGGTAACCATATGGGGGAGAGAATGGTTTGGAACGTGATCAAGGCTTCCATGGGATGAGTGGATATGAGATGGCTATGGAGGCATGGGAGTGATTGAGACAAGATGACACTGAGGCCAGGCTCCTGCTAATTCACTACTGTAGTTTCACTGGAATTTTGTGATGAGCTTTGGTGGGGTCTGCAGTGTTCAGTCTTGATGGTGGATAGGTCTGGGGCAGACTTTCAAAAGTGGTGGCTATTGTGAGGACCAGGATGGAACTGTGGATCACATTTAGGAAGTGTAATGTAGGTTATAGTGGTAATGCAGTTTTCAGGTTAGAAAGACTAGGGTGCATGCTGAGAAGTGGGTCTCTTGCTTAGTACCTGGTTGAGATCCTAAGAATGAGAAACACAAGGGAGGGAGAGAGGATGATCTGGGAGGTGGCTAACGCTTCCATGGGATGTATGGGTGCAAGATGGCTTCAGAGGCAAGAGGGTAATTGAGGCAAGATGAAACCGAAGGCAGGGCTCCTGCTAATTCACTACTGTATGGATTTACCAGAATTTTGTGGTGAGTTTTGATGGGGTCTGGGGTGTTTCAGTCTTGCTGGTGGATAAGATCTGGGGTAAATGTAGTCATTTGTGAGAATCATTATGCCTGGCAGGGAGACTATAAGGATTGGGGTTTTAGGGAAGGTTGAGTGGAGAGTGGGGAGTGTGACTGCTGAGGGGACAGCAAGTCCAGCACAGAAGTGGAAGTGGGTCATGGGCATCTATAATTCGTAGTGCCTCTGGGTGGCTAGTATTGAAGCAAGGATCAGAGGTACAGAGGAGGCCTTCAAAGCAGAATTCAGGGCTTTGGCCAAAGTAGAGCTATGGGAGTGCAGCTGTGGGGACTGAAGATGTGAGAGAGGTACAGTTTACAGAACAATGTGCACAACAAGAGGAAGTGTGAGCCAAGGGCCTCAGGGTATTGGAGCTGAAGGGTAAAGCATGAGCCATTTCATTGCGTTTTGGGAGTCTCAAAATAGAGACCTTGGGGGAATTGACAGTATGGACCATACAGGCCAGGAGGAATTTGGATGACATCTCTTGTTTCCCTTGCCTGATGTTGCTGAGGGCAGAACACAGTGAATAAAGAGAACCTGAAGATAGGGTGGACATTAGTGGCACCTAGGCATGGCATTTCTGAAGTGGGGACCTCTGAAAGAGGATAAGTGTGGGATAGATGTGTGGCGAGATGGATTGTGGGACTCAGAGAATGTTCATGGTTTCATCTGTCCCCATCATAACAGGATAGTGTGACCTTTGAGGACATTGCTGTGTACTTCTCCTGGGAGGAGTGGAGGCTCCTTGATGAGGCTCAGAGATGCCTGTACCACGATGTGATGCTGGAGAACTTTACACTTATATCCTCACTGGGTAAGGCCCTCACCCTCCACAGTGGCCTGAAGTAGGCTCTCTTCCCTCCCCACCCACCATTTCTCAGTGTCTCTCACATGCGGACCATGGGCACTGCTTGCTTCTCAGCTTACTGGGTAATTGCTGTGTTGATAGGGCTAGTTTATTTGCACTGCCCTCTCCTCTTCCCCTGAAGCCTCAATAACTGCTATACTGAACCCTCTTAGGAAAGGATTCAAGGTTAGTAGATTTTTAGTGAGCTTAATGGATTCCGCCATGCTTGTCCTTTGTTTGGATCAGTGTGTACAGCTTCATGTCACTTCTGTATCCCAGCGTTTGTTTGTTTGTTTGTTTGTTTGTTTTTAAAGTAAGCTCTATACCCTTGGGGCTTGAACTCACAACCCTGTGATCAAGAATTGCGTGCTCTAGGGGCGCCTGGGTGGCTCAGTGGTTAAGCGTCTGCCTTTGGCTCAGGTCATGATCCCAGGACCCTGGGATCAAGACCCGCATCGGGCTCCCTGCTCAGCGGGAAGCCTGCTTCTCCCTCTCCCACTCCCCCTGCTGGTGTTCCCTCTCTCGCTGTGTCTCTCTCTGTCAAATAAACAAATAAAATCTTAAAAAAAAAAAAATTGCATGTTCTACTGACTGAGCCAGCCTCTGTTTTCCAGTTTTTGATTTCTTCTTTTAACTGACTTTTCCTTGTGTCTGCTTGTGCCAGGTTTGCATGCATTGTCATCGTCACTACTTACTTGAACCATAGGCTACTTTTCAACACACTCCTGCAAGGTTTGTAGTTTAGGTGCATTTTCTTTTTTTTCCCCCAGCTTTCTGGAGATACAAAATTATATAAAAGTGCACAGGGCGTGCCTGGGTGGCTCAGTCAGTTGAGCATCCAACTCTTGGTTTCGGCTAGGTCATGATCTCAGGGTTGTGGGATTAAGCCCTGAGTCCGGCTGCAGCTGAAATCAGCATGGCATCTGCTTGTCCCTCTTTCATCCTCCCTATGCTTGCTCTCTCTCAAATAAATATAAAAGATCTTTAAAAATATATATACTAAAAAAAATTAAGTGCACAGTGTGATGATTTGATATATGCATACATTGTAATATAATTTCCACAAGTGAAGTTCATTAAATATCTACCACCTCATAAAATTACATTAATTTTTTTGTAGAAATGCTCAAATCTACTCAGTAAATTTCACATATACAACATCATTATTAACTATAGTCACCATGCTGTATGTTACATCTTCATAACTTTTTAATCTTTTTAATTTTTCCTATTTTTTAAAGATTTTATTTATTTCAGAGAGTGAATGAGAGAGAGGGCATGAGCACTGGGGCAGGGAAGGGAGAAGGAGACTCCCCACTGAGCAGGGAGCCCAATGCGGGGCTCAATCCCAGGACTGTGAGATCATGACCTGAGCCAAAGGCTGATGCTTAACCGACTGAGCCACCCAGGCACCCAAACTTTTTCATCTTATAACTGAACATTTGTGCTTTTTGACCAATATCTCCCCATTTCCCTCACACCCCGGCTCCTCGTATTCTACAGGCATACCCCAGAGATATTTTGGGTTTGATTCCCGACCACCACAATACAGCAAACATCACAATAAAGCAAGTCAAATGAATTTTTTGTTATTCCAGTACATATAAAAGTTACGTTTATTACACTGTAGTCTTTTTTTGCTTGGTTTTAGAGTGCAAGTGGGCAGGGAGGGGTAGAGAGAGAGGGAGAATCTTAGCACGCTTCACACTCAGCACAGAGCCTGATGCGGGGCTCAATCTCACGACCCTGAGATCATGACCTGAGCTGAAATCAAGAGTTGGACTCTTGGGGTGCCTGGGTGGCTCAGTCATTAAGTGCCTGCCTTCAGCTCAGGTCATGATCCTAGGGTCCTGGGATTGAGCCCCGCATCGGGCTTCCTGCTCTGCGGGAAGCCTGCTTCTCCCTCTCCCACTCCCCCTGCTTGTGTTCCCTCTCTCGCTGTGTCTCTCTGTCAAATAAATAAAATCTTTAAAAAGAAAAAAGAGTTGGACTCTTAACTGACTGAACTACCTGGTGCTCCTGTTTATACTGTAGTCTACTAAGTGTCCCAGAGCATTATGGCTAAAAAAAATGTACATTTAAAAATACTTTACTGCTGAAAAATGCTACCATCACCTGAAATTCCTGCAAGTATCTTTTTTGCTGGTGAAGGGTCTTGCCTTGATATTGATAGCTGCTGACTGGTCAGGGTGGTACCTTGCAAGGTTAGGGCAGCTGTGGCGATTTCTTAAAATAAGACAACAATGAAGCTTGCTCTGTTGATTGACTCTTTCTTTCATAAGTGATTTCTCTGTAGCATGTGATGCTGTTTTATAACATTTTACCCACAGTAGAACTTCTTTGAGAATTACAGCCAGTCCTCGCAAACCATGTTATGCAATATTCTTAATTCTTTGTTGTCATTTCCACAATCTTGACAGCATTTTCACCAGGAGTAGATTCCATCTCTTTTTCTTGAATTTTTAAAAAAATTTAATTCCAGTATAATTAAATACAGTGTTTTTTAAAACATGTTTTTAAATTTTAGATTCCATCTGAATAAACTTTCTTTGCTCATCCATACAAAGCAACTTCTCATCCATTTAAAAAATTTTTACTTTAATTTTTTAAAATTTAAATTCAGTTAATTAACATATAATGTATTATTTGTTTCAGGGATACAGGTCTGTGATTCATCAGTCTTATATCCATTCAAATTTTATCATGAACTTGCAATAATTCAGTCATATCATCAGGGTCCATTTTTTTTCTTTTTTTAAGGATTTTATTTATTTGTGAGAGAGTGAGCAAGAGCGCGGGATGAGGAACAGAGGGAGAGGGACAAGCAGACTCCATGCTGAGTGGAGGGCTCGATCCCAGGACCCTGAGACCATGACCTGAGCTGAAATCAAGAGTCGGATGCTCAACCAACTGAGCCATCTGATGCCCCCAGGCTCCACTTCTAATTCTAATTCTCTTGCCATTTCTATCATATCTGCAGTTACTTTCTCCACGGAAGTCTTAAACCCTTCAAAGTCATCCATGAGGGTTGGCATCAACTTCCAAACACTTTTTGATACTTTGACCTCTGCCACCCATGAATGGCAGTTAGAATGTTCAATCTTTTCCAGAAGGGTTCGATTTCCTTTGCCTAGATCTATCAGAAAAACCACTATGGCAGCCCTGGCCTTACAAGTTGTATTTCTTTCTTTCTTTCTTCTTCTTTTTTTTTTTTTTTTTTTAGGATTTATTTATTTATTTGAGAGCGTGGGAGAGCGCATGTGCGTATGGGGGTGGCAGGAGTATAGGGAGAAGGTCTTATTAAGTAGACTCCCTGCTGAGTGTGGAGCTCGACACAAGGTTGTTCTCAACAAATTGTATTTCTTAAATAAGACTTGAAAGTCAAAACTGGGGGGCCTGAATGGTACAGTTGGTTGTGTCTGACTCTTGGTTTCAGCTCAGGTCATGATCTCAGGGTTGTGAGATCGAGCCCCACTTCAGGCTCCAAGCTCACCTGGGAGTCTGCTTGAGATTCTCTCTCCCTCTACTCTTCCTGCTCATGTGCGTGTGCATACTCTCTCTCAAATAAATAAATCTTAAAAAAAAAAATCAAAATTATTTGGGCTACATGAGCTACAGAATGGATATTGTGTTAGCAGGCATGAAAACATTAATGTTGTACATCTCCATCAGAGTTCTTGGGTGACCAGGTGCTTTGTCAATGAGCAGTAATATTTTGAAAGAAATCTTTTTTTCTGAGCAGTACATATCAACAGTGTGCTTAAAATAGTCAGTAAACCATATTATAAACAGGGTGCTGTCATCCAGGCTTTGTTTTTCCATTTATAGCTCAGGCAGAGTAGATTCAGCATAATTCTTAATGGTCCTAGGATTTTCAGAATGATAAATGAGCACTGGCCCCTAACAAGAGAGTTGGCCTGTCCTTTGAAGCCAGGCTTGATGTCTCTAGCTTGGAAAGTGCTAGATGGCATCTTCCAATAGAAGGGTGTTTTGTCTGCATTGAAAATTTGTTGTTTAGTGTAGTCACCTTCATGAATGATCTTAGCTAGATCTTCTGGATCACTAGCTACAGCTTTTGCATCAGCACTTTGTATTTTGATGGTATGGAGATGGCTTCTTTCCTTCAGCCTCAGGAACCAATCTCTGCTAACTTCCAACTTGTCTTTGTGGATTCCTCACCTCTCTCAGCCTTCCTAGAATTGGAGACAGTTAGGCCCTTGCTCTGGATTAGGTTTTGGCTTAAGGGAACTTTGGGGCCACTTTGATCTATGCAGACCACTACAACTTTCTATCAGTAGTAAGGCTGATTTGCTTTCTTACCATTTGTGTGTTCACTGGAGTAGCACTTTTATTTTTACATTTTTAAGATTTTATTTATTTATTTGACAGAGAGCGAACAAGCACAAGCAGGGGGAATGGCAGGCAGGGGAGAATTCTCGCAGGCTCCCCACTGAAGGCGGCCGCTTAACCGACTGAGCCACCCAGGCGCCCCTGGAGTAGCACTTTTAATTTCCTTCAAAGACTTTTTGTGGTTTTTTGCATTCACAACTTGGCAACACTTGGCCAGCTGTTGGGCTCAAGAGGCTTAGCTCGCTTTTGGCCTATCTCGGTTTTCAACATACCTTCCTCACTAAGTGTAATCATTTCTAGCTTTTGATTTAAAGTGAAAGATGTGTCACTCTTCTTTTCACTTGAACACCTAGAAGCTATTGTAGAGTTATTAATTGGCATAATTTCAATACTGTTGTGTCTCAGGAAATAGAGTGGCCCAAGAGAAAGATAGGGCAATGACTGGTCATGGAACAGTTAGAAGAAACACATTTGTCATTTTTTGATTATGTTAAATGTCATATGGGTGTGGTTCGTGGTGCTCCAGAACAATTACAATAGTAACAAAGGGCTCTGATCGCAGATCACCATAACGAATACACTAATACTGGAAACATTTGAAATATTACAATTACCAA